TAAAGACGTCATAGTATATTGAGGCCTGAAAATTGAAAAAAACAACATACTATAGCATGGCCTGAAAATTGAAAAAAACGACATAGTATAGTATGGCAAAAAAGTGAAAAAACAACAAAGTTTAATAAGGTATAAAAACATCATATTATAATAACATTTAAAGACGTCATAGTATATTGAGGCCTGAAAATTGAAAAAAACGACATACTATAGTATGGCCTGAAAATTGAAAAAAACGACATAGTATAGTATGGCAAAAAAAATGAAAAAACAACAAAGTTTAATAAGGTATAAAAACATCAAAAAACATCATATTATAATAAAATATAAAGACGTCATAGTATATTGGGGCCTTAAAATTTAAAAAAACGACATAGTATAGTATGGCAAAAATAGTGAAAAAACGACATAGTATAGTATGGTTTAAAAACATAAAAAAATGTCATATTATAATAAAATATAAAGACGTCATAGTATATTGAGGCCTGAAAATTGAAAAAACAACATACTATAGTATGGCCTGAAAATTGAAAAAACAACATACTATAGTATGGCCTGAAAATTGAAAAAACAACATACTATAGTATGGCCTGAAAATTGAAAAAACAACATACTATAGTATGGCCTGAAAATTGAAAAAACAACATACTATAGTATGGCCTGAAAATTGAAAAAACAACATACTATAGTATGGCCTGAAAATTGAAAAAACAACATACTATAGTATGGCCTGAAAATTGAAAAAACAACATACTATAGTATGGCCTGAAAATTGAAAAAACAACATACTATAGTATGGCCTGAAAATTGAAAAAACAACATACTATAGTATGGCCTGAAAATTGAAAAAACAACATACTATAGTATGGCCTGAAAATTGAAAAAACAACATACTATAGTATGGCCTGAAAATTGAAAAAACAACATACTATAGTATGGCCTGAAAATTGAAAAAAACAACATAGTATAGTTAAGGTATAAAAAGTCAAAAACACCTCACAGTATAGTAAGGCATAAAAAGTCAAAAAATGTCATAGTGTATAGTAAGGCATAAAAAGGTATAGAAACATCATAGTATAGTTAAGGTATAAAAATGAAAAAAGAACCATTGTATAGTAAGGCATAAAAAGTTATAGAAACGTCATAGTGTAGTAAAGTATAAAAAGTCAAAAAAACTTCATAAAAACATCATAGTATAGTTAAGGTATAAAAAGTCAAAAACACCTGACAGTATGGTAAGGCATAAAAAGTCAGAAAAACGTCATAGTATAGTAGGTCAAAAAAGGTATGGAAACGTCATAGTATAGTCAAGGATGAAAAGTCATAAAAACATCATAGTATAGTAAGGAATAAAAAGTCATAAAAACTTCATAGTCCAGTAAGGTAAAAAAATGTCATAGTATAGTAAGGCATTATTATCTATGAATTTTGTAATTAAACAGGTTTCATTGAATAACTTTTAATGAGCAATTCACTGCCCCTTAACAAACTCACCTTTCCGCATTATGAACAACAAAACAAAAACGATTAATAAACGTGTCTATAACGCCCGACAGGCCGTCTTGCAATTTGGGCTGTAGGACTGCAATGCACTCCTGGCATCCAATGAAGGTGCGACAGCAGAGACGCAGGAGTTGATATTAACACAACAAAGATGAGGAATTTCTGACAGTCTCATGAAAGAGATGATACACTTATACACATACACTGTGTAGTCTTCCTAAATCCTTTGTGAGTCCACAAATCAGTGTTTCCTCTGTATTCATTTAACAGTGGTGTGCCCCCAGAGAAAGGAAAGTATGACCACTGCAAGAGAAAATCAATAGGGTAGAAATATTTTAAGCAGTATTTGGTGTAATTGACATAGAATTTTGACTGAGTTGACTTAAGCTGGAGCACAACAATACAAAACAGTAGTAATTGAAATCCCGTGATGGGAGTGTAGACACTGATGGTGGATGTGAAGGGGTGAAGAGCAATGGATGAAAATGCAGGACTTCTGAGGTCAGGGGGGGGGCAGATGAACGCTTGTCCTGATTCAACTGTGTGTACAGACGTGAACAGACATTCCCTTTTATGAACTCTGATCCCCAAATACGTGACACATTTTTTATCCATCTCAAACCATACCTGGCATATGTGCTGCAGCGCGGATCTCACTGTCACCCAAAATTCATAAACTCTAGTTTCTGAGTGTGTTCAGGCTTTTGAGTTAGTGACAGAAAAGACCTGCTGCGTTCAGAGCCTGTTAATGACCTGGTCACTGTGGTTGGCACCATGTTGAAAAATGAATTGTTTTTCCAATAACATTTGTCATTAATACTTAAGTCAAAATCATGGTTATAATTGTGCCCTTGGATTTATGGCGCTTGATGTATTGACTGTTTGGATAAGTTTTGCCTACAAGGGTTTGGAGCATGAGAACTGTAAAGGGCATCCTTAAATTTCTGTACAACAGTATAAAACCAAACATGTCCCACCTCCTCACCTACATCACTGAACCACAAGACAAACCGAACACCTCCCCAGTACTGCACACTTCTCCCACCAGTGGATTGTCCTGACTTTCTCAAAAAGTAAATAATCTGTATCGTCATATTATATCACTTCGTTTAACCAAATAAAAAATAAAAAGATTGTGCTATAACTGATGTGTCTAGTTGGCTACTTGATGCACATCTAGTTTTAACTGTACATGTTTCAAACTTGAGCTTAAAGCTAATATTTCAATACTCATCGCAGTTGACTGTCAAAGCCACAGTTAGAAATGTATATCTGAACCTCTCGGAACCTCTAAGGATTCGATATGTGACAGAAAGGTTCGGCTGTTTCGAAGTCACCTGTTCACACCTGCGTGGCTTCCATGTGGCTCCACTGCAATGTGGAAAGAAGACAATTGTTATTTCACTGGAAATAAAATTGTTACAATAAAGTGTGTGTTTGTCATGGTTCAAAAGTATGTGAGGAGAGACACAGTTGGCCTCTAATCTGGACTACAACTGAAAAGGAAAAAATCCAGAGTGGACAGACAAGTAACAGAGAACATATCCATCGAGTTGTTCTTAGAAAATCTTTCTGTATTTACAGGTTTTTGAACAGACAAGCAGATACAGACAAAGAGTGCTTATATACAGAGCAGCACAAGATGTTAAAATGAGTGCTAAAACAATATGGTATTTACAGGTGGACTACAGCGGAAAATACAGACTAGGAACAAGTTTTATCACAAAACTTCTGGTACTCTACACAGTATCACAAAGTCCATGAACTGTACAGTTAAAAACCAAAAAATGGTAAATCTACATGAAATCCAATGTTTCTCCAATTGAGAGGCACTGAATTATATATATTTACATTATATATACATTTCATAGTGTATAAGCATGTATGTTTTCATACATATATAGCTACCTGTGGTGCAAAAGCAGCAAAAGAAATTAGAATGTATGGAATTCAATACTACAAAATAAAGGGTCTGTGCTAAATGGGATGACTGACAGAGTAATGTTACACCATACATAACTAATATACTGGCAAAAAGAAAAACTGAGCAAAGCTAAATAATGTTGCTCAAACTCCTAACAGTCTGAAGTGAACAGAAGGTTCCTGTCAGTCAGTCAAAAACAGAAGAGATTGTCAATAATACTTCAAGTTCATGCAAAGATATAAACCATTAAAAATGAAAAAATAAACTTTTCCCTGTTGACCAACCAGCTGTGCAGCTTTCCCTTCATTGTGACTCGGAAGGTGCAAAACAAAAGGAGGGAGGGCGGGACTTCCTGTGCGGGTTATGGAACAGAGTTGGAGTGCAGTACGGGCACTTGGTGGGGAGGGACAGTCTCAGCGTCGGCCTCATCCTGGCTGGAGGGGCTGCTCACTGTGGCAGTGTTGGGCAGTGGCGGTGGTAGTGGTGGTGCGGAGGTGGAGTTGGGGGCGGTGTTGGTTGTGGTGCTGGCTGCATTGCTGCTGGTGGTGGTGTTAGCACAACTGGCGGCAGGTGTGGCAGTCTGCTCCTCTTTGGGCTGCTTACTGGCGAACTCCGTGATGCTGAAGACGAACTGGAGGCAGCCCAGTTTGATGTAGCTGCCGTGGTGGAGCAGGGCCGTGCCCTCCCAGCCCGCCCCGCTGCCTCCAATCAGGCTGGAGCTGCTCGCCTTGCAGGTGCACGACAGCTCGGAGCCGCCCTGAGGCTGGCTGCTCATCACTCCGCCAGCCGGCAACAGACCCATCACAGAGCTGGGACCCTCGCCTTCCTCACGCTTCTTACTGCGACCTGCACGGAGAGCACAGGGAGGAAATTAGGGACGTGACCTTTATCATTACAATTTAGAAACAGAAGGCGGAAACAACAGCAGTAAAAGCTCTGAGATGAAAGAGAAGAACAAATACAGGTTGTCTATTCCATTAGAGATGATGACATCAAGGAGCAATACAGCTGTGATGCCAGTAAAGTGTGCGATCACACCAACTAACCAAATTCAATTCATTTGAATGCAATGATAATGATTAGCAGATTTGTTCATGGCAGTGCCGTATTCCATATTCAATTCTGGTTCATTTTGATATGCAAACTTTGCACCGCGCACCAACAGCAAATGGTGTAATCATAGTTGAACCTCTGAAGAGTTGAAAATGGAGAAAACTTTAGATATAATCACACATTTAGTAGAAGCAGTAGGCTTTAGTGTAACTGGCTGCTTTTGAATATAACTGCTTCCTTTTTCGTCTGAGCTTGTTGAGGCGTGTTAGCCAAACACAGTCAGCTGTGGTGGCTGCTGCTTGCTCATCTCCATCCAGACTACCTCTCTAAAATGTAGATTTTCTGACTCCATCAGGGTAGCGATCGACAAAGCTTCTTTTCAGAGTCACAGATGCTACCTCCATGTTTTTCTACACTGCTGCCTAATAGGGTCAAATGTGTCAGATGATAATCGATGTGGTGCTACAGACAAATCCCTGGCCTACAAAGAAGGGAACATGCTTGTTTGGTACAAGCCCCAACAAAAATCACATCATCATTTGCATATTTTTTTTTTTTTACAGTGAAATTTAAATCCAAAGATGAACACTCCAACTGAAATCCTGACTCATATCACTATATCTGCCAAAAAAAATTTGGATGGATTTTTATTGTGTGTATTGTTCCTCTTGGATTCAATGGGAAAGGTAGTGTGCACATATAATAAGAGCCTGCTTGGTGAAGCGTTTTGTCAAAACAGCAATAAACTGAAAAATAAGGTTGAGGATTGTGCCCCCTAGAGGCAGGATGGGGAGTTGGTTCCCTCCTGCTGTGATCACCTCTCAAACCACACAAACTATGAATACCTGACAGAGCTTTCACAAACAAGTGTGTAAGAATGAGATGAACTCACGGATGATGCCTTGGACTTTGGCCACGAGGCCGCTGGGTAAAGACGGCGAGGCCTTCTCGGAGAAGTCACACGAGTAGAGGACGTTGTCCACTGTGGTGCCGTGCTCACTGTAGTTGAGCAGCTCGTAATGCTTGGTATTCTACAGAGAACACACACACACACACACACACACACACACACACACACACACACAGACGCAGAGCATTTATACCATGTCCAACAGCAGCAGCACTTCCATGTGTTTAATAGACAGAGGTGGAGAAGTGCAGTCCATACCTCATCATAGAAAATACAGGCGTGTTTCCCCGATATGTAGTTGCAATGACCGTAGTTTGTAAGGCACACGTCCATGTCAGCACCTTCACAAAAAAATTATTTTAATTAAATTAAAAAGTTGTGAAAAAAATATGAATAATGTTCGTCTTCATGCAGCGCTGCCTCACTACAGACATCAGGTGTATTTAGTCTCTTGTTGGTCTAAATGTCATTTCCTCTTTCAGCTGTTGCCAATGCATTACCCAAGTTTTGGTCCAGACACCAAAACAATAATTTATATATTTAGAAATACCAAATTTTGCGGGGAACTTTTCTCCATTGGTGTATAAATTAAATTTGTCTTAAAATATGTTCAGATCTTTATCTCAGTTACAATTATGAACAGTTGTTCTTGTCCACATTGAAAACATCATTCAAACAGTCACAGCTGACTAAAGCTGTGAGCAAAGCTAACTGCAGTCAGGAGTTATCAGTCCTGGAGTCCACTCAGTGAAACCAGATTAGAGCTGTGGGTTAGAGACACTCTGAGATGTTTGTCGTGAGGCCTGAAGAAGAGTTGATGAGCATGAAGCTGAAAGAGTCACAGAGTTTATATCTTCATCAGTCCAGTCAGACAAACTGTCTGTAAATGGAGATGATTCACTTCCGTGGCTACTCCCTCTAGAAGTGGACATCCAGCTAAGGTTGAAATGAATCTCAACTGTCCACAACACGACTGGAAAATGTTTCAACACACGGTGATCAACGTGCCTAGCACCAGGGCATCAGTCACACTATTCACAATATCTCTATCACTGTACAGAAGCAGAGTCCGCAGTTCTTACCAGATCCAATGTATAATGTCCTGTAGCACATGCTGACTGCTCCTCCTTTTCCTGTCAGAGGGTAGAAGACAGCTCGGGCTTGCACCTTCTTCTGACCTGGTGGGAAGACGTTCAGGTTTTTAAACTATGGAAGCAACTTCCAGGAAACACAACTGTCGGAGGGTGAGGTTGGTGTCTTACCGTCGGGGTGGGGTGATGGGGTTTTGGGGGTGTCGCTGGTCGCTGGGGGAAGCAGAGCCCTGGGGGCTTTGGGAGGGAAAAGCTGCTGGATCCTCTGCCAGGCCAAGAGCTTGATCATGTCAGCATCCAGTTTGTCCAGCTCGATCCCTACACGCAAACACACACACACAGTCATTAGAAGCTAATTCTACCATTTCGACCAGACCACAGCGGTTCAGTATCATCACATCCCCCTGCTGAGTGAGCACACCCACCTCCATCCTCATCCTTTCCATCTTTCATGCAGCCGGACAGGTTGGCGATGGAGGACAGAGCGCTGGGCAGCATCGAGTCCATCAGTCCAGCTCCAGTCTTTATGTCTGTGGAGGAGAAACAGGCAGGGACAACATGAGGTCATCCACCTGAGACTGATCTGGAGGTTTGCTCACTGACGGTTGAGTGGATGGAAACTTCATTCATTCATTCATTCATTTATGTACAACAACCTCTTTATCTATATACTTAGTGTATAATATACTTTAACTACATACTTAACTATTTAAATGTGTTTTTGTTTGCTGCCTCCTAAGACTCACTTCAGCTTGAAACAACTGGGAAATTGTTGCCAGTGGCCACCAGAGGGAGCTGTTAGGCAACAGTCTGCTGTAAAGTTTTGCCCTGTATCTCAGTGAGAGTGGAGACCAGAGGAAAGTGAAAACCTCATTAACAAGCTGCAACAATGACCACAGACGTGATTCAACACCCTTCAACATGTCAAGTCTCACAAAAGTAGGATTCAGTTAAATATCTCACTATGTAGAATTACCATGTTTTTATAACCATTTCTGCCTCTGGACAACCTCAGCCCTTATTTCTATTCAGGTGGACTCTAACTTTCCAACACACATATTCAAAGCAGCACCGCTCTGTTTGCTAAAACCTCCCCCTCCCACTTGTTAGATATCCGATAATTATCAATTAATGTGATGATTATTTTCTTGATGAATGAAACATGACAACAGACCAACGATGACCTCGAGGAGGTGCTAACATTAATAATTGGTTAATTAATCAGAGTTTTAATTTGCTCCATTTATCTATATGCACTTGTTTTCCATGTTTGAACTCGGCAGGTGAAACAAGGCAACAGACAAACTTCTTTAGGCCAGTTCATGGTTCTGTGCTGCCAGAGAAAAGACGCTTTAGATCTCAAATTAAGTGGCAAACAAATGAGCTTTAGATTTAATGAAAGTGGGAATGAAGTAGGAAATAGGTAGAAGACTACAGTTCTTGTTCATGTTCCTGAGATATCAGGAGGAAAAAACATTGTTCTCTGGACTAAATCATTTCGTCATTTCATTATTTTCCTCTAGTTTTTTCCGGACACTATCTGTCTCTACATCTTGTGTTTTCTAGGATTTGGGAGAATCAGGTTAAACAAGCACTTTAGGCCTAATGTGAGTACTTGACTTTATGTAGCTTTAGCTGCTGGTACTGATGTATGATCACTTCCCAAAACTTTCATTCAACATGATGGAATGTCAAATAAAAGGCTGTGATTTGTCATTTTCAGTATTTTTTGTACATTTTTCACACTAAATAATGAATAAAAATACATGTATCAACAAATGAATAAATGAGTTATTATTAGACTGCTATGGATGAAATCCCTGGAGAAGCTCCAATGAACCTGGGAAGCTACACAGTGGTGAGTGGTTTATTGCCTCATGTTTACCTGGAGTAGGTGATGATAATCCCAGCTTGGTTGAGTCGCGCTCCTGGTTGCCTTTAGGTGGCGTGTCTGAGCGGGCACTGCTGGTGATGGAGTAGGAGCGGGTTTCGTTGCTGGTCATACACTGGGCCTCCTGGAGCACCGTCTGGTTCCTGTGGTTTTGCTGGCTGCCGTGGGGCCATATCGTCGGAGCAGTGGGGCAGATTTTCTGAGTGCAGGCCTCCTTAGTGCTTTCAGGCTCCTTTTTTACTGTTTCTGCACCTATGTGGTTCACCAGAGCAGAGGCAGGAGCTGAGTCTGGGGGTGTTGTACTGGGCTTCACTCTGCACTGCAGCTCCACCTGCCTGCAGGAGTCTGAGGAACTGTGACAGTCTACTGGTCCGTTGGCTTTGGGAGGCTGCCGCTCCTCTGCTAGAGGTCCGTTGGGTTTCCTACAGTTCTGACATGACGTCATGCTGCATTTACAAACACCCAGCTCTGCTGGGGTGTCCCTTGAAAGAGACGCCCCCTGGGGGTTGTCAGGTGTACTGCAGGGTTTAGAGCAGGGGTCGGGGGAAGAAGTCCTTCCTAAAGAGGCCTGAGTTTTCATGTCCTCTGATGTTACACATGACTTAGCGCTGGCTTTCTGCTCTGACTCCGACTCTGCTGACGACGTGACTGATGACAGAGCGGATGGTGTGGATGAAGCCTTTTGCTTGATGGATAGGTGTCGCATGATGCTGCACTGGAGGGCGATGACATCCTGAAGCCACTGTTCAACACAGCACAACCATGTTTTATTACACAAGAAGCAACCATCAATCCTGTCCTGTCTAATGGACACATTCATATCACAGGAAGAGGCAAGACTGTCATTTTTCTTTTGATGCAATATTTTGAATTAAGTTAGAGCTCATGGTTGATGGGCACCGTTTATTCTACCTATCCAGAGTCAGTGGGAAAAAGAATCATGTAGGTCTGAGTACAGTGTCAGTACACAGCTGCAGCTATAACTATTTATCAGCCTTAAATATCTTTTTAAGCTCTGTATGTAGTTCAGTTATCAGCAGGAACAAGTGCTTCTACTGCAGAGACATGAATCTTGTTTATATGCAAAGTTGTTTTCTACACTTATCAGGCTTGCTAATGCTAACATTAGCAGTACAACCTGGGGTTATGGTTAGCCAGTGGTCTGCTTCTTATGTTTGATGCAGCACCTGCTTCCTGTCGGGGCGTTAACTCACAACCTGCACCTCTGAGTCCTGCCTGTTTCCTCATTGTAAAGGACGATGAACTGAACTTTCAAATCCAAGCAGACAGGTTTAAGCTCAGAGCGTATACTTCCTCTTGAAGTGAAAGGCTTTTGTTCTGCTTACCTCCTGCTGCTCAGCCTCTGTGGTGAGGTGCTTTGAGGGCTGATGGTCAGGAACGCCGCTACAGACCAGCTCTAGCTGGTGCACTCCAGCAGGGTGCAGCATGGGGGGAGGGTTCTGGTAGTGGGACTTGATGGCATCTGGCACCTGAGAACAAAGAGTGATTGTTAGAAATAACTTGAATTTAAATTTTCAAACATATTCAAATGTCTTTGAATGAACAGGGAATCTCACATATTGATTGTGTGCCCTGCCAAAAATTGATTAACACGTGTGTAGCCAGCAGCCGGTCTACCTTAATGGTCTTCTTGTTGTGCTGGAGGTTGGTGCGCCGGTTAGGTGCGTTCTGACGATGGACTCTACGTAGGAAGTCCAACTTGACGGCGTGCTGCGACATCCTGTCCTGGAACTGGTCGAAGAGTTGACAGCGGCTGGACAGGCTCAGGGTCTTCTGGTTCAGCTACACATGAGACAAACGTTTGAAATGTCAAACTAATGATTTGTTGCATCATCTAGGCTGAGACAAAATACCAAGAAAGAAAAAGTTTGTTTAGCTCCGAGCCAAGGCCACGCCTCTTACCACTAAGTGCTCTACATGGTTTGGACACATCCATTTGCCAGCAGGTAGAGCTGTGAGTGGAGGGTCCAGACAGTCCATGTGGAACAGGAGGGGACAATAATCACACTGGATCAGTGGAGCCAACCTGCAACTCCTGTGTGAGGAAACACAAGGAAATCAGTTAGATATATGAAAATATATAAAGATGTCAGGTCTGTGAGTTCATCTGTGTACTCGACATATATCTGTTTATTACCGACCTGTTGCATGAAAAGCAGACTTTGACTGGTAGAGGGACGAGACCATTAGGATCCAGTTCATGCTGAGGTCTCCTGAACGGCTTCCCTAGTAACTCCTCTTTTCTCCTCCGTTTACTGCTACCTGGAAACCAAACAAGAGGAACATCTGATAAACAATCCAACCCAGATATCCTAATAATAGTAATAATAATAATAATAATAATGATCTGTATTTACAGAGTGTGTTTCTAATCCCTCATTACAAAGGTCAATCAATAAAAATCAAGTAAAAGCAGGAAAAGCTCTCAGATTAAAGTGTGTTTTCAGAAAAGATTTCTAGGGGGTCACTAATTCTGCTAAACTGATTTCTTCAGGCGGCTCGTTTCAGGGCTTTGACTGTGAATCATCCGTCACCTGTAGTTATCCTCTCATGTATTAAATATCTGAGTCACTTGGTACATTCCAGGACGCAGTACTTTGTTGTATCTACTTTCCAAAACTTGCTTCATTTACTTCTAGTTTTATTTTCTGGAATGTCAAGAGTTTCGTGCAAGACAGCAGGCGTTTACATTGTTTCTCCTTTCATTGTCACAATTCATCACCATCTGCAAAAAGACTTATTTGGAGCATTTATGCTGAAATTATCATAAGTGGCAGCTCTCTTAGTTACCAAGCCAGAGATGTTTGAAAAACAAGTTTTCACCTGCTGTTACACCAAGAAAACGGAATATTTACTGATGGTTGAGTTATCTGAACATTTATGAAAAAAAAATCTTAGTTATAGACAAGCTGGAATATCTGGGCTTTTTGATGGTAAAAATGTCATTTATATGTGGTTTGTAAACCACAGGACTATAATGAAATTCAGCAGAAAAACAGCACCCATTCTCTTCACCACACCCTGAATGTTTTCAGCTGCTTTTTTTCACCTTCACATTCGAACTGGTTGAAATAATCACACTATTCTTTCACAGTGGCAGTGTACGTTCTCTTAATGACTGACCTGGCAGCGCAGTGGTGCAGGTGAGCTCGCTGGGCAGCTGGAACTGTGTGGGGTTTCTCTCCATAGCAGCTGCTATTAGCAGCTGAAAGGGCCTCTTGAGGAGGCGTGGTGTCGGAGCGGAAAGCGTAGCACCGTCGAGCTCTGCGCCCTGAACTTCGTCTTCGGGTTCTGCTGCCTCCTCCTCCCCCTCGTTCTGCTCCTCAGAGGGGGTCGGAGTGGATGAGGTGTTGGAGGTGGGTGTCCCGGGCCTGCTGCTAGGCCTACTGCTCGTCCTGCGGTCCAAGAGGCGTACCTGGGCCACTCGTAAACCGGGTCCCGCTGCTCCGGCGCCAGGAGGAAGGCCATCGAGCCGCAGAGGGCCAGCATTGAGCTCCAGCTCCACGGCCGGGGATGCGGAGCGTTTAGACGAGGACCTTTCCGGCAGGCCGTTGGTCTGTTCCGACTTCTGCTCTCGCTTCTGATGGAAACGAAAACAAAAACACAAATCTATTCTCTGCACTTCAACAGCTGCGTGACAGTAACGTCAGTGGAGGATTGGAAGCGTAATAGAGGAGACCTGCCTCTCACCTTTTTCCTAACATTGCAGCGATGACACATCCATTCTCCTGGAGGAAGCATTTCTTCACTAAGAGGTGGGTTACTGTGGTAAGAGGATAAAACACAAGGGACCAGGTAAATGATTAATGCAAGAAAAGTAATAATTTAACATCCATCACATACAGTTAAGATGTGTTTCAATCATGCTGTCTCATTTTGATAGAAAACTCATTATTATTCACCACATTTCTGTAAAGAAAAAAACATACATTCATCTTTTTCTTGTTAATTACAGCCATATTCCTAGATCAGTTATCCAATATGCAAAGGTTGTATTAGAAGTTAACATAAAGCACTTAGATTTCTAAGCTTATATTCACTGAAAATAGTTACTATTCAGCCAGTAAACTCGTGGACTATAATTACATTACAATAAACAGGCAGATTATCCAAGTGCATGGTTTTCCCATTAAGGAACAAAAAAGAATGATATGAATAATATTCATAGGAGATTTCACGTATATAGATATATATATATATATAACAACAATAATTATACATTTACAAGTCAAGGTGGGGAACAATCTACAGCTCAAAATCTCCCATTCAAAAACAAACATGATCAAAAGTTACCTTTAAGATAAAACCCACTTATGCAGCAAGTTTCCTCCCAGTACAAGCACTGATGTGACACCATTAAAAACTGTGCAGATGAAGCCACTCACACGCCTGACCATATATAGATAAAACGTGCCTGCTCGTTCCCTAGAGACAGTTTGAACTCAACACGTCCAAATGCCAAAGTTAAAAAAAAAAAAAAAAATCATGCAAGCAGATGTTTAACGGAGAATTGTGCAAAGCGGCACCGGGAGAAAAGCTACAAAGAGACGACCTCTGCGACACGTCCGCAACAAACGCTGCCACGCCGCTACTCCATCTAAAAGAATGACAAAACATTTTGTGGTATTTATGAACCCTCTTTTTCTCAAAGCTTAATTTTAAAGGTTGGTAAAATGGCGGTGGAATAGGAAAAAAAAAAGAGCAGGGAGGTCGCCATATTGTAAACAGAGGCAGACTCGACTCCATTTTTAGCAGCAATGGCTCCACTGGCTGCAGCCACAACAGGAGGGGAGGACCGACTGCAAGCTGCTTCTAGCCGCTTTCACAGACCAGGCTACATGCACCCATTTCATTTAGCCCCTGTGTGTCTTATTAACGTGCTTCCCATTGACAATAACGAAAGAAATTTTACTCCGCAACTATGTGACTTACAACGATGAACGAGACACCATATATCAAATGGCACACACACTGGAAACATAACGGTTAGCTGCTGTAAGTTACTCGACACCGACACGGATCGAATTAGCAGTTGCTCTCCTTGCTGACCAAACTCCATTCAATAAACGTCCAATTTAATGTGCGCCTTTGGATGTACCAAACACAATGGAAACATGACTTCGAGGTGGCTTTTAATTAGTTTAATTAACAAATTAATACCTGCCAGTAATTCAACGCTATCGACTAAAATTCAACTTTACAAAGTGCTCCACAACGCTCACTATCGCCCTCCTCGGTTCAGCTCTATATGGGGGAGTACAGTGTGAATATGAGGGGAACCACCGATGACTGAGGTTGAAATTTCACTGATATAACCACGGTTTTATCTAGCGCATATGTGATATATATTTTGTACAACACTGCAGAGGGGCAGGATTCAAAACAAATACTTCCACTGACATTTCGCATGCTGATGTCTGTAGCACAAAAAAAATAACTTTACCATGGGGACAATCCTGAACAAGCACTAAGCATTTTTGCATGCAGCTAATGGGGAAACTGAGCATGCATTAATGGTGCGTTCTGCCTCTTTTGTTGATAAAACTTTAACTCACCAGCACTGGAGGTGGAAGGCTGCCGGACAGTGGTCACAACACAGCAGGTCTCCCCCCTCCCGGCAACTATCGCAGGTGTCGTGGTTGGTGGCCCTGCCGCTCCTTCGGACGTCTCTCACCAACTTCCGATTCCTCTTCTCTACCTCCTCGGACTTCGGGGGCGCCAGCAGTGTTTGGATTTGCTGTAAAAAAGTTGTTCAATTGCATGAGAGATCGCGGTTGCCCTGTTTTGATTGTTTGCCTACAGAGTTGGAAAATATGCAGCTCTGTGTTCGCTTTCATGCTAAGCTTAGGGGAGAGCGGTAATGTTAACTTGTGGCCTCCATTACCAGCCCAAACTATTGAGTTAGCTAGCCGAAATATGCGTGACAGCAGGCTACGGTGGTCTGCTGATAACCGCATTTCATATGATGAAAAATACATTAAAACATTAGCAGTAGGGGTATGTTTCACATAATCAAGGCCTTCGAGTAGAGCAACCTCACCTCCATTAAGCCCCCAGAGGTATCCAAATCGTACACAATCGTCGGGGTCTCCATTTTGTCCCACATTCATCCAGAAGCAGACGTTACAAAATTGAATTTGCAACACAAGTGCCAAACGGGCACACAACGATGAGAGTAAATCCCACAATAAATGTCTTTTTCCTAATGTTTTTGACCAGCGGATGGCTGGCCAAGCGATGCTAGCTATCGTTAGCTGGCTAAAGGAGCTAACTACGAAGGCAAGACGTCAACCAGTCAAGGTTGTGAAGCTAGCGGGCTCACTAGCTAGGTGCTGTTGGCCCAAAGAAAAGACACAAAAATCAACGATAATAGTGTGATTAAAACGCCGGATGCTTAGCACCACTTTTTCTATGGTAGTGCCAAGCCTACACACAGTATTTTATATTAATAGACTGTTGCTGCTGGCTACAAAATCCATCTGCGGCCTAGCTGGCCAGCCATGATTCTTGTTTCTGCTCCGGCAATAAGGAGCCCTGTAAATTTGCAAACCCCTCCGCTCCCATTGTCAACAGAAGACGTAACCAAAAATACAGAAGGACGTTCGGCGTGGCGCGGTCCAATGCACGGTTTCCGATAGCGTTCGGAAAGTATAATCCTCAAATCGGGTACGCGGAGATGCAAATTTTGTTGGTGTTATTGTTGTGAAAAAGCCTGTGCATCTACACTGGCTGCTAGCAACATCCTCTACCAATTGGCGCAACCGCGAACCGCCACGCGCGCATGCGCATTAGAACGGAAATAGATAACTGAAGCTAGCTACATTGGAACTAGGGGCGGCTAGCTCGCTGTAGCTACATTGTATCCGGCTACCGCTGTGCTGGAATTAAGCGGATAGATATCACTGTCAATGTCAGTCTACTTCTGCTACTAGCTGTTACTAGGCTACTGTCTCTGTACTGCCGTTACTGAGAGTAATACCAACAGCTGCTCGTGTCGGTAGCCATATTGCTAACGAGCGTTCCTGATATCTTTAAAGTCCACTATTAGCTGTTACCACTGAATCAGTAATACTGACCACTGCTTCTACAGTTTAATTATTATTATTACAGCTCGGACATTTACTGTAGTATTGTTGTTCCTAAAACAGGCATTTTCAGTTTCACTGATGTAATGGGAATGCTACGTCTGTACAAACACTAGGACGGTATTACAACAAATTCTTACCACAACTATTATTGTTACCGTAAGTGCCGCTACCACCATAACCAGCATCACAACCATCGCCACTAGGGGTAGTGCTTATGCCGTTAATAGTTAGTCGACATCTTGAGTAAGTTATTGACAGACATACTGAATAAAAATAGACATTTTGTGTTGAACAGAAAGCAAAGGAATTCATTAAATTAATAACAGAATAACAAAACAGCTTGAAGTGTGTACATATGTGCATGTGTAAGGATGTGTCCATTCTTTTAAATAAAAACAGAAAACAAATAACAACAAAACCAGATGTGTGCTTGTGGAGGAGATAAGATCCAGATGTGGGAATATCATCTGACAATCATGCTGTATAAGGGCCAGATTTGGGCCGTGGAACCGGGTGTTTACTGAGCCAGAAGAAAGCAAACATGGCCCAAATATGGGCCGCAGGGGCTGCCACAAGACCGGTCCTACTAACAGTTCTGTGTATAGTCGACTATACATACATTTTTTAAGAAATTGGGACAAATATAATAAATTGTTAAGATGACATTTTAAGTTTTCCTACTAATCAGAATACAAACATCCAATTCCTGGTATGCTGCATCACTGTGACAGCAACACTGTTCCATATAATCCAGGAGACTAAGATAAAGGTCAAAATTTTAATGCCAGGTTGTTTGAGGTGATCCTTCAGCCGCATCCCTGCCTCAGAGATGATGGGTAATACCTAGCCCTTGCCAGCAGATGGAGGCAGTGCTCTGTTATAGTATGTTGGTTCAGTTTGTTGAATTTAAAAGTGGACATTAGATGTTCATAAGTTCTATGTTAATATAAATTTCTTAGAAATGTTCATTTAAGCAGTCCTTGTGCATGTAGACACTAATGTCAATTCAAGTGTTATTTAGATGCAAAGGAACTGAGTGAATTTTATATTATACGTATTAGCATTTTACCAAAAATAATATATTCAGATGTAAGCCATTTGTAATCTCCAATATTATGATTAACTGGAATTTAATTAACTTTAATTATACATTTTCTTAGTATCTAATAGATGTTTATTTTCTTTTTCTCCCTCATTTTTTATGATTTAAATCTTATGTTGAGCTGAGGTTTTTACATAAGCCCTAGCTAGATTTCTTACCTCACCTACACATCCACTTCATTACAAAATTATATACCGAGTATTTATTTGCAGTGTGTGTGTGCTTGTTTGTTGTTTAGAACATCAAAATTGTTTATGGATGTACATGTGCTTCTCTTGCAAACATTTTCTTCAGCAATGGTGGGAAACTAAGATGTCATGGAATTCTAAAAGCATTACTGTGCATGTGGCACTTTGGTGGACACCTAAATGTAATGAAATGAGAATCGTGTGTTTAAGTTGATTTGCAACAACCTGTACAGCTGTACAATTTTTGTGGCACTATCTCTTTTTTTAAACTTGTAAAACATCTCCTCATCCAGCGCTCCCAACACTCAGATTTCTAGGGTAATTCATGTTAAAAAACTCGAGTCTTGTAAAAGAAGTTGTGTTGTTCTGCAGGTTTGCACAGCCTCTAGTCTCACACTTCCACTTTACTGAGCCTGCTCAGAGATACTGCTGCCTTGGCAGATATAATACATCATGTTGAACAGCAGATGCATTGCCGTTTTCTTCATGTCATGACTTCATTACATAGCTAATTATCACATTTAATGGGACTATTTTCACTCCTTCATTACCACACACTGTTACTGGAGGCACAGACGAGGCCCAATGAAACTTAATGCAGTGGAAGGCAGAGATCACTTCACATTCAATTCTAACAAAATGGAATTGCTTTTAGTGCGACTGCAGTTATTGCAGTGTTGTAAAGAAAAGTGCGAGTATAGTGATGGCTTACTTTAATTAAATTCACAGGATGTTTCTGCTGACTTATCAAGTCTGTGACATCTTGGCCAAACCTACAGAGGTACAGCCAGTTGTTCCGTCTGACTCTCAGAAACACAGGTGCATCTTCAGTTTGTTTTTTTCTTCAAAGGCCTTGAAATGTAAAATCACACCAGTGAAAATGATTTCACAGTTTTGTACTTTTGCTTTTAAAACTAAAGATAGAAAGATAACCACCGAGACAAACTTTTAACATACAAGGCAGACAACACTCTGCTTTTGGGTAAGTCACAATGCAAATGTTCAACTTGAGGGTGTCAGCCCTACTGAGAGTCATCCATGTATGCAGCTTTTTTTTTTATATAATGACATGAAAAATGAGTAAGCAGAAACTTTAATTTGAGTAGTTAATCTGCTGATCAACATTCGGGAGGGTGTGTTCAAAGATTCAAAAGTGTTACACAAAACAGGTTTTGACCTTCTAAAAGGGGACGTGCCATTAGATTTGACTTGTGAACTGAGAAGGTTTGGTGAGTTCAGGTGTTCAGAATCAGCCAAAACAAAAACAGAAGGTTCGGTAGAAAATAAACCAAATCAGGGGTTTCCTCTTGTTTTGTACCAAGAAATCTGTTGCTGTTCATTGTCAGATCTGCTTTTAATGTCTGACTGAATGTTTGTACCCTGCTCTTCTCTTTACACACTATAACTACTATACTAATATAAATAAAAAGTTATTATTATAGAGGTGTGCCTGTGTTCTGAAAACAATTTCAATCAAGAACACTGAATTTGACATATTCATTAAAAGTTCTGTCAGTTTCAACTGTGTCTAATAAATGTAATTTCCGATAATTAATTTATTCAATACATCACTTTCATTTCATTAGTTGTGTATGAGCATAAAAAGTTGGAATTTCTGAAATACTAATAGCCTCACACACTCAGACAGACACAAACCATCTCAGTCAGCCACAATGCAAACAAGAAGCAAATAAGAAACACTGTCAAACTATCCATTTTTTTCTGAACAATATGTTTTATTGAAGATGTTTGTGAAGTTGCTTCATCAGTACTTTATGTACATTGAATCAAAAATAGGTTAATTATTATCATTGTCATCACACCAGCTTGCATGGATACATACTGTATTCTCATAGGACAATATATACTGTATGTTTGAACGACAGTAATGGTCTAAATTTAGACGTAATCTCCAGACAGGCAATGGCAACATGGACAACAGCTTACCTCGGTGTGCAGTTTCCTTTCGCTTCACAGAAAATTTAATGGATGGGATGTCACTCAAAACGATATGGTGATACACCAAGTAGAAATCAAAATGTCTTTATCTTTAACGCTGCATGTTACATACAGTATGAACGCATGAAATCAGTGAAACCTTAATGATCCCCATTAGAGTTGGATGTTGCTTATGGGGGAAAAATGTATTGGTAATATGATATATAATCTTAACTTACAGGTTGACACTATTGTTTAAAGAAATGGTCCAACATTCTGGGAAATATGCTCATCTGTTTTCTTTCTGAGGGTGAAATAGGATGACTGTGTGTGAAGGGCCGGTTTCACAAAGATATTTCAGGCTGGTCTATAGTGTTGGTCCAGTTTTTCAATTTTGCTCATGTATCAGTCTAATGCAAGTAAGACCTTTTCACAAAAACAAAGACTAATTTCAAGCCAAAAAAATTAGACACCTTAGCCCTAGGCAAACTCAGGCCCAAGACGTGTTACCATGGTAATAATCAATAACACCTGTGCTGAGCAGTATCCCCGAACAACAAAAAACAGGGACATTGTTATTGAGAGAGCAATGAGAAGGGACAAGTACAATGTCCTTGTAGCTGTTGAACTTTTCCTAAAGACAAACATTCTCTGCTGGAGTTTTTTTTTTTACTTTGAAAAAAATCTCAATTTACCCAGAATTCATTGTACCACAGTCCGGCTTAAGGTAGAACTAAACTGCTTTGTGCCAAAGATTAAATTAGAAGTGTATCGGAGGTCTAACTATTTGTTATATCTAAGACATAGTTGAAGTCTATCATTGTGAAACCGGCCGCTGGTGTCAGGACAAGGTTAGCCTAGCTTAGCAGGGGGAAACAGCTAGCCTTGCTCTGTTCAAAGTGTCTACCAACACCTCTAATGGTGAAGACCCACTGGATTTAGGAATACAGGAATCCCAGAAACTACAATGATCTTCTCTCTGCTTCATCAGGTAAAGGATAAACTTCCTGTTCCACCACTGAACTACTTTTTCTTTGTCACATTTTCGGGAAAAAACTACGAGGCATCTAATTTTGTTCTCATTCGCATGGAGCTACACAATATTGGAATATTTTTCCAAGAAACAGTTACATCACCCTGCTTCCAACCTTTATGCTAAGATAAGCTAATCACATCAGGACTCAAACTCTCTATTTAACACACACACGAGAATGATAATAATCTTCTCATTTCACTCTCAGAAAGAAATTTTTTTCCTTCAATGGCCTTTTATTTAAGGCACATTCCGATTCCTTATATTTTTAGGTAACCTCTAATAAAAGCAAATGCTGTTGTTTTTCTGTGACATGTAATCATAAGATCTTACTCTTAATTAGACATACCTTAAATTCATAAGCACTGTTCTTTAAATGATGGCAGAAGACATTTAGTGTATAATGTACATAACACAACGTAACATCTGTGGTTATATGCACTTAATGGCACTAGCTTCGCATTGATTCCTTCTGCTCTCTGAGACGATACTTTGCGCTGAAAGTCCTCAGGATGCAAGCACGGGATTAAAAACTGTACAAACTGCTGCTGCTGGACTTTTACTGTTGAAGAGCTAGAAAAATAATCCAGTGGCCCAGCCTTTCCAGGGGTGGTGAGGTGTCCTCTGTTGGGTAAATAAAGGGAGGCTCATATTCAGTGTACAGAGAACAGGGTGGAGGCGTCAAAGGAGTCACCAAAGGCGTGAGTCTGGCGGACGTTGAAAAGGCCAGCGGGCGTCTTATCTGTCCATACTGAAACACACACACGACGTCTTCAGATCGAAACCTCATATTCTCTTGTTTCCTATGAAGAGAACCAACACATCACATTTTGTAAACGTTGGTAAACCCGCTAACAAAAGCCAATTGACCCCTTTTCCACTGTCAGTTGAGTTTGCCTTTCTGTTCGGACTGAGGACACACATGACTGCAAGGAGCGATGTCATCACATGCACTTACAGAGCGCGCACGCACGCACGCAAGCACGCACACACACACACACAGAAGCAGTGGAGGAAGAGTGAGCTGCTAGCCACTGTGTAAACTCATAAAACAGATCCGCCACGTCACATCCCCGGGTCGGTGCTCCTGTCAGTGGCGGAGCCTCCGTGTGAGACGCTTCGATTGGTGATTATATGTTTTTAAAACTTATTTCGGGGCTGCAGCTTCACTCTTTCATTCCACAGTGCAGTGCAGTCGTGGTGTATGAATTAAACAGCACCGTGCTGGACAGATGGCAGGTCTGTCTGCAGGGTCTGTGTGCTCAGTAGGAAAATTAGCGGGTTCTCCTGGGTGTCGTGTTTACATCAATGCCGATCGCAGCCGTAGCCGATAAATACCCGCCTCTACTGCAGAGTCATTTGACCTGGGTGTGAATGCCCATTGATCCCTTTTCCAAAGCCAGATGTTAGTGGGTCTCAGCAGGTTTTTTGACCAGTGGAAAAGGGGCTTCAGAGTCACAGAGTAAAAAAGTCACAAGGTCACAGAGACAGGCCATAATGTGTTATAGTGAACGTTACTCAAACAGTTTTCATAGTAATGAAGGAATGCGGCTAACTTGTGGGTTTTTAATAGTTTTTGGACAACAGTGGCACAGAGGAATAACATACATCAGACTTTATGGGATTTACTGAACATACAAGACAAATATTCTGTTATATATTCTAAATATTCTAATATTTTTACTGTTTATGTGCTTTAAATCTGTGTTTTTATTATGCTGCTACTGTGTTTTTTCACAATAAAGATCTATTCTATTCTCATGTCTCTGCAGCTGAGACGAGCAGCTTAAGGACAGGACTAACTTACCTCATTGTTCTTCAGGTTTGCCGTGTGGAAGAAGAAGAAGAAGAAGAAAAGAAGTAACTCAACACAAAGAAAGACTTTTATCAGTGAGGATGATGTTGTACCTTATAAATGATTATACTCAGTACAGTCCAACGGGACTTATTAATATATAGAACCTGATGTTGGTAGTTACAAAGTAAATAAAAAAAACAAATTAGTTTTAATTTACAAATGTAAAACTTGTGGATTAATTTAGGTCAATTTGTTGAGATTTTTTCTGGAGCTGATCTGATAGCAGGTTTCAAAAAGGCAAAGCAAATTTATTTGTTTATCACATTATCATAAACAGAGGTCATTCAGTGTGCTTAACAGAAATAAAAGAAGGATAAAAAATAGAAGTAAAAAGCATAATAAAAAACAGTATAAAAACAGATTATAAAATAGATAATATCTAATTAAAGTGCAAGATTAAACGATTAAATGGAGGCTGAGGAGAAACAGTGGAGAGCAGTTTTAAGCTTCTTTTTAAAGCCAGTTTTGACCAGATTTGATCCTCATGGGGAGGCTGGTTCCAGCAGTGGCTGAAAGCCATTTCACCTTGTTCAGTTTTTAAAAAGTCAGCTTCATCAGGACCGGGTCCTGATTTATCACCTGGTCTAAATCTAGTTCTACCACTTCCGGTATTTCAGTTTTGTCCTCACATGTTGCCTATTCCTGCGCCTGGTGCTCCTTAATAATGCAGCAGACACGAGACCCTGCAGCAGGCTCAGTCAAAACGTCCCATCATACAAACGTATAGCAGCTGTTTCACAGTCTAATGTTTGTCGACTCACCGTTGTCTCATAAATGGAGCTGTCAAATGTAGAGTCTCCGGAGATGTTTTCATATGGTAAGCTGGAGGACAGGGAGAGCTGTAGTGACTTCCTCTGAACCCTGAGCACCGACAGACAGAGAACACACTCGTGACAAATGTAGGTTTTTACAACACTATGTAGGAAGGATTTACAATGGCACCATTTGTGGGTTTGAACTTTAAAATCTTCCTAATGTCACTGAGTGACAGTCTGTTCTTGTTGTGTAACACTTTTTGTTGTCGTGTGCTGAAAATCCTTGATCCCAATCCTGTCACAGCTATTTTTAAAATGCTTTTTGGCTAAATATAGTTGCATTTGCCTCTTTCTTTGAGTTAATCCCTGTCAGACAGAAGCTGTCTCTCATCTCTCTTCAGTAAAATGTGGTGTCTAATTATTGAATACTTCAAAAGTCCTGTTACATCACAAAACTGTTTACTTTTCTCACCCTTTAACCTCTACACCTGCTTTAATCAGTCCGTTTTTGTCTGAAGTCTGATTTCCATTTGATAAAACTCTTTTTTTTAATTACAGTGTCAACTTTCTTTTGCAGTTCATATCCAGTTTGTGGCAGTCCAGCCCATCCAGCTTCAGCAGTGCTAATAAGGAGTGGTGTAGGCTAGCTGTGATGGAGGTGTTGTTGATCTGGATGGTGTATGGTGAAGGGTCAGACCTCATTAGTGTTAGAAGTGACATTTCAGCACTAGAAAAACTTGCATGTTTTGACAGCGTATCAGAAGAAACAGCAGAACAAGGGCCGTAATGGAACTTGGCTACAATACCACTGCAACGTCAAGAGTCTTGAGGCTGCATTCATTCATTTCTTTCTGACAACTTGGGGGCAAATGTCCCCTGCAACGTGTCTTCTCTTGAAGTTGCTTTGGCTAACATGTTAGCATTCACAATGGCACACACAGAGCAACATTAGCATTGATTTCGAGTTGTAGGTATTTAATATCTTCATTAACTAAATGCTCCACTGTGTTCACCAGCTAATTGCTTGTTTACCGCTGCAGGCAGCATCCAGTGTTTTTATGTTTTTTGTTTTTTTTTAAGATAGTCCAGTGGTAGCATTTGTATTTTTAATAAATTTACAAACATTTAAAAAAAAAACGTTTTCACTTTGTCATTATGGGTTATTGTGTGTCGATTCATAGGGAAATATGGCAGTTTTATTCATTTACCAATTAAATCTACAACATAAAACAGTCTGAAACAAGTGATGGGGTCTGAATACTTTCTGAAGCTATTTTCTATTGCTATTTTTTTTTTTAAATTTTCTATTCATTTGTAGTTTTTTCATAATCATTTCAGAGTTTTTTGTTTCTTCATTGCCCAAGGTTATTTTTCAATCTCACAAGCAGAATCCTTTTGTAAACCATTAATGTATTATATATTTTATTGTTTTGCTTCTTGTGCAAGTAAGGAATAAATAACTGTATTACAAAGGGAACAATAAAATAGTTTCCACTACTGGACAGTCTCTCACTGAATCTGAAACTTAAGTTTTAATGAGGAAATTGATGAAGTCGTTATTTATTATATCGAGTCCCTGAAGTCACATTTATTCATATAAAAATGCGAAGATTTTTTTTTCCATCTTCACTGGACCTACTTTGAGAAGTAGAGGTAGATCCCAATCATGAGGATGAGGAGGAGGATGACAGGGATGAAGACAGCAAATGCCACTTGGGCCCCCTCCAGTCTGGTGTCTGCAGTCGCCACTGTTGGAGAAAGAAACGTTCTTTTATTCAAAACAACCTTCCAGAGTTTGTGCTCATGTTGTTTCATAACAATCGGTAGAACTGAACTCATTAAAAACAGACTAGTTCATTTTAAACGGGCAAAATAAATTAAGGTTATTTAATTGCTGAAAACTAGACATGCAACACAGGAAACATTGTTAGTACAAATTGTCTTTTAATATATCTAATGCAGACTGAAGACGTGTAGGTTAAAGTAACTTCTTGTCAAAACTTACCATCCAATCTGTGCTCGTCGTACCCTGCAGGGTGGGCTGGGGAGAAGACACCACAGAGGACACGGTAAACATAAAAAGAGCTTGTTTGAAAACATAAACGAAATGAACTTATTCTGTCGTCAGATCTGACCTGAGAGACACAGGTGAACCACAACGTGACAGTAATATGCAACTCTGATTTGTAGGAGTTCAAGGTTTTCTTCAGTCAGCTGATTGAATATGGAGGAAAAGATTTTTCATGATATTTTGTAGAGAAATTATTATCATGCAAAGAATTATTTAGTTTGAGCAAACAAAAATCTTTGTTCAGCTGATTCATTTATGCAGCTGCTAACACACAAGTGAACACTGATAATAAATAGTTTTGGTTAGATGCCTATTTTTATGAACTTTTATTAAATTTGTAAATCGACAACTAAGTTAATTGACAGCTGAGTTACGCAACCAAGGAATAATTATTATTATGAATGTAGTTTAATATGGAAAGTTAAATATGCCCATGTTAAAAAGTACAAACGATTTAATTATAATTCCTATTACCCCCTGGGATATTAGGATTCTCGGATTCTGATTGGGTAGAAGGTGTGGATTAACTTTTAGTAACCTGACATTTTCATGATGTAAATGTCTGTTTGCTGTTCTAGGCTGCATGCCTCCGCCTCAGGTAATTAGCCTGGAGCTACAGGGTCACTGTGTAACCAACAGAAGAAAATATGACAAAATAGTTTCTCAAGTGAGAACCACACACATCTTATTTTACATGTGTATCATTATTTTGCATGAATCTGTAGACAAAGACAAAGACTTTAAATAGAGGAGGTGGAGCTGTTGGCCAGTCAGAGCTGCAGGGGAAAGGAGAGAAGAACAGTAAGGAAATGAAAAATAAAAACCTGCACATGTGGTGAAGTCACAGTTGAGTGTGAGTGGAGGAGAGAGAGGCAGACGGTGAAACATTACATGACAGAGACCACTAGTTAACGTTATCTGTGCTGGACAGACAGTTTTGATAATATTGTGTATCACTATTCTCTGAGACTGACAGTTTTAAAACTTGTCAGGATTAATGTTAGAAAACATCTGGCCCGAACCTTGCAAACTTCTTCCTGTTTAGCCGGGTGTTGCCAAGCAACTGAGGCTCGGGAACTTTACGTTGATTATTATCAGACAGCTAGATCAACATTAATTATATGAGTAAATTAACAACTGATATTTTTAGTTGGGCCTTAAGAGGCATTTTCTACATAAAGAATAATAGCTGAGAAATTATATCCATCCATTACAATCATGGAGCGTGCAGCTTGTTGGGTATTATGCCTCACTTAACCACCCGATAGCAAGACTTTAAAAATAGATTAGCACTCTATCTAATAAAAACATATCTTAGATTTAGTTTTATTTAATTTAAAAGGCACAGTCGAAGCCATTTTAAAGGGATTACTATACATAAATTATTATTATCATTTATTTAATCATGAACTTAGCTAGCTGCCTATCAAGTTTAAGTTACCACCCCCACTGCTTACGTACTCTACTGCCCCAGTGAGCAGTAATACTACTATCAAGCTGATTGGAGGCAAAACAGCCAATCAGAAGCTGCCTCCTCCCTTATTGTGCACTTATGTGGATATAAGAAACAAGTACATAAATTTATTGTGGATCAAATTTGCATGATTATAATTTCTTTACAAAATACAATTAAAATCGCTGCATAACATATTTTTTCATGCTCACAGTTTCCCATCACGTGGCGTCAGTTCATCACCTTGGAGATGTGCTGCGGCTGTGAAACCCTCAGAGAAATCTCTGCTAGCAGCTCAGGTAGCTCCTCTGGTCTGACTGTTTTATAAATGTGTCCCTGCAGCTCTCTGTCTCCTGCAGGTGCTTTGACCGGGCTGCAGACTTAAACTAAAGGCCACTCTTGTGTTATTTCAGCCCCTAGACTGGAACAACCTTCTTCAAAGTGACAGCAACAACACCACATTGCAGAGTCATAAAAGAAAAAAAAAAAAACCCCGCACAAACACTTTTGCTCTCCAGCCTTTCACTGTGATTGATGTGTTGTTCCTACTTTCCTGAAACAGGCTCGATCTTTGTTCAGCTTGTTTTTTGTTTTCTTAAATTGTCTTTCAATCTATGAAGGTCTCCTCATGAAAGCGTTAAATAATGGAGAAAGTTAAAGAGGTCTTGTTACTCATTGTGATTCATTGTTAATTAATTTTTAATTTGTTAATTTTATCTTTCCTGCACAAAGGTTATACAAGTATAACAAGCGTTACAGTGACACAAAACCAGAAATTAGGAGCGCAAACTGTAATACAAGCACCCTAAGGAGAATATAAATTTTAAGTGAGGTGGGCGGGGCTTGGCTGATAGCGGTGACTGCTTTGTTGTGACATCACAAAGTTCCAGAAGTCCTGACGGCTGGTTTTAAGGCTCAGTTTCTGAACACAGGCTGTGTGCATTTCTCTGTGGACTGAGGCTTTGATACTTTCACAGTATTAATATAGAAGCTAGAGCTGATCTATAATCACACTACACATGGACACAGACCTTTACACTGGAGGAGCTTTAACTGCGAATATAAAAATGTAAAAGACATAAGTAGCTCTTGCCAAAAAGTAGTTAAAACATCACAGCGCAAGAAAACATGAGCAATAAATCCTTTCTGATTATTGCAAGAATTACCAAGATTGGCAAAGTCCACACATTTCGCTTGACATCAGATCAGAAAACTATATAATGTAGAATCTATGCTGTGCTACCACAGCTCAGGAGACATGGAGGCTGCCAGAAGGAAAACTAGTCTCACTGCTGTCTTCAGTGTGTGGTCAGGGGCCACTGCAGCAGTGAATACTGGCGGCTCTGAGAGCGGGGCCCTCTATAAAAAAAAATGAAATAAAATAAATGGTCTGTTGTATAGAGTTGACAACAAGTGCACTGCTGTGCATCAACAGCCTGAGAGCTACTTCCAGCCCAGGGGGACAAAGACACCGCCGACACTGACATGATGAAACGTTTTTGAATGCAGTAAAAAAGATCTTTTCTTCTTGCTTCCCCTGACACTTTTATTTCATCATGTGATGAGGGCTTTCACCAAACACCACTGAACCAATCAAATGACGTAGTTGTATCAGCCAGTACCATGAGCTGTAACCAGCTGTTTGTATTTATTGATAAACTCAATCAGGGGGGATTTCTTTACTTTAGATGATGTGTTTCAAGAAGCAGATTTTTCGGGACCCTCTGGCACTGTGTATATCAGGCTGTAGTTCCTTACCTTTGCAGACAGGTGGCAGCCCACTCCACTGGGATGGGTGTCCTGGGACACAGTGGAGAACAGGCTCCCCCAGCAGCTGGTGGCCAGTCATGCAGGAGTAGTGGAGGGTGTCTCCTGGCTGGAAGTGGAGCTGGTTGGAGCTGGGGATCCCATAGTTGGGCGTTCCTGGGTGACTGCAGGGCTCAAAGGTGTCAGTCTGGGGGGGGGGGGGGGCATGAAGTTTGGTATGCATATTAATGATCTTTCCATCCTTAGAATAGCATCACAATTAAGAATTAACATTTCGACTTCTAATGGGCAGAGCACATGAACTCTTCAGAGGAGCGTGGGCTTTCACAGGGAGAACCTTTGTCATTACATTTAATTGTGAGCGTCAGAAAAAAAAGTAAAAGTAAGTAGAGGGAAGGAAACTTGAATAGAGAATGAAAATACATCTGTGATCTTTCACATCATGACACATTTCTCTCCTGAAGCTGAAAGGAATTCTGGCAAGGGCAGTTTCCCTGTCTTTGTCATAATAAATTCCTTCCTTTTGCTCGTGATCTCCATCTCATACATAACTATGACCCGGCTCGTCTCCTCCAAAGGAATTTCGGTTGTCCGGTTGAATTAATTATATTAAGTCAGTTCCACCGTGCAGTTCATCTCCGCCTAGAAAGTAGGTGAGGCCGAGTGTAAGACATTCATGCAAATGAGATTAATGGCCTCGACGGGGGAATTATATTTTAATCACCCTGACGCAGTTCGAGCTCGCCAGCTTTGTCAGAGACAAGTGGCAGGAGGTCAAGACAGATGGTGGATGTTGGTGGTTACATTCAAATCAATCACAATTGCTAATTAAAAAAAATATGGAAGCCCTAACAGATAAGTCAGAAACATGTCTTGTTAAATTATAAGAGTTTATATATGCATGAAGATTTAGACAAAATAATAAGAAATGTACCTTTTCACACAGTGTTATAAATAACTACATATAACTATTAAACATAGTTCATTCTTGTCACTTTGAAAACTCTATAAAACGCCAATTTAGGTCATCATGGGACACGGAAACTCGTAATTCAAAACCAGGCTAATTAACTTCTTTTAATGGTAGTTGCTCTTAAAGAGAAGAGAAACTGTGTGATACATTAAAACCTGAACCAGAACAAAAGTCTGAAGCTCCAGAGGTGACAGCGCGAGGTGCAGGGGAAAGGGTTGTTCTACGGGCTCAAATAAGAAAACATTTCAAAGCCTGTGGTTTTAAATTTGTGCTTCAGTTACATGAACACGCTGAGGAGAAGAACTACTTTTCTGAACATCTGAGTGCAGGTTCAAAGCATCGTCTAAATCTGTTTGTGAAACTCAACAACACTGTGAAACTCAACAGGTTACAGATGCACAAAGTGCGAGTTCTGGCTGTAAAAACTGATCTTGGTAAACCTTTAAGCCGACGGAGCCCCGAAGTGCCAAAAGATAATCTTTTTTTTTTTTTTTTTTTTTTAAATCTCTTGAACGCAGCACATTATCTTATAGTAGTCAGATGTGCACAACAGCAGTTTTTTCTCTGCATCACTGCACTCCCATTTTTCCTAAAATGTATGCACACTTTCTTTCAGACTTTGTAATGATTTTTTTTTTTCTGTGTGAATTAAATGGTGCACACTTCCAGTCACTCCTAGAGCCAGTTATGGTGTTGTACTTAGTTTTACACATGAAACACAATAGAAATAACTGTAAAGAAAGAAAAGAGAAAGTGTGAGACGTAATTTCTAAACCCTGCCTACTACTTAAACCACTAATAGACGATACGACACACTTTGTTTGAGGCATACAGAAACATTTGCACTGTCTTGCAGTGTCTCTTTCATTTAAACGCAGCCTGGAGAAACACTTTAACTCTGCTACGTACGGAGGCATCTCGGCAGCTTCTGGTTCCACTTGGGGCCCGAGGATCCTCGGTTGAAGCAGGTGAGCAGGCTGTTTCCGGACAGAGTGAAGCCCTTGTTGCAGACGTATTGGATGGTTGAGCCCACGGTGAAATGGGGACCCGACAGAACCCGCCTGCTGTGATCCACCTTCCCTGGGTCGGCACAAGACACGACTGGACGGACAGAGGAGGGACGAAGGTTGGTTAGAGTCACCTCACATTTTCTAGTCTTCCATTGTAGAGAGACATTACTTTATCTTAAGATCAGCTGACTGAACGCTTCATGCTCATGTTTACTTACTCAGCCAACAAGTGGAACCAAAGGGATTAGAGGCTTTCAGATGTAGCAGCAGGGAACAAACAAGTTCAGCATTATGAGGGTACAATCCAGAAACTAAAACTAGCTGGAGGCCTCAGTGCGAGAGGAGCAGCAAACCAGAAGCATATTCACATACTGACTGACAGCTGTGAGCTCCCACCCCCGACTGTGGCCTTCTCTGATTGGTTAGAAGGACGAGGCTCGCTCAGAAGTTTACTGACCTGGGGTGGCGAAGGGAAATACTGTAGGCTATGTAGGGGTGTAAACAACTGCAGGAGCTAGTGTGACTAGCAGGCGAACAACGGCAGACAGTAACCTCTGTCTCTGCCTTTACACCACCACAGCCCAACAGCGTCTCTGCCTCTCTGCTGCTTGTTTTATTTCACTGTACAAATGTTAACCCCCCCAGCGGCGGCGGCGGCGGCGGCGGCGGCGGTGTTTGTGTACTCGCCTCTTTCACAGCTCGGTAGGTCACCGCTCCAGGTGAGGTCCCACTGGCACATGAGCAGCTCGGCACCCACCACCTGGTAACCCGGGTAACACTGGTAGGTCACCACGGTGCCCTGAACCAGCTCGGGGTGGGACGTACTCTTCCATCCATTAGAGATCTCTGGAAGCTCAGGGCAGGTGTCGTTACGAGCTACCTCTGCAGGGGGGGGGGGGCAGGAAATCATTAGGAAGTTAATGTAAGGTTTGAGTTATATGAGCTTTTAAAGACCGATGACACAGAATTCCTCTTGTTTCTTAGGCAGCTGATTTTAGCTTCATAAGCATCCTTGTCCGATCATCACATAACTTCTTTGTATTCTGTCTGAGGTCATGTCATGTTTCGCTCCTTAGTTCACAGACATGACCCGTTGTACATCCCTTTCCTGACACTTTCCTCAAAGCTCTTCCTTGTCCAGACGACTGTAACCCACCGGGGACGTTATCTTTGCTCAGCCCCAGGCACACAGCAGCAGGTTTGGGTTTTGTGTTTACAAGTCTAATTTGGACAAACACAGCAAAGTAATTGCGCTTGAGCTTGACTCTCCAACACCAGACCCACAGCGCGGCCTTGTGTTTACATTCCACCAATGAGATTCATGGGGAGATAGTAATAAAAGCTTCCCCTGCCGTTATCCCTCTTTGTTGATCATCTGTATTCTGCGGCCGTTCGTTCCCTCTGAATTCATTAGCTTTAATCAGATATAGTGTGCTGGCTCTGGCCGACTGCTGCACTGAGGAGAGGCCCTGCCAGCAGGGACGGCCTCGTACTCTCCTCATGCTTTGGTCCCACACCAGCAAAAATAAACAACCACTTCCCTCTTTCATTTAACTTCACTCTTTACTGAATCCATCCGATCTCCCATTCTGCTTTGCTACCTTTTCTCTTCCCATCCATCCATCTGTCCATCATCATCATCCATACATACATCCATCCATCCATCTGTCCATCATCCATCCATACATACATCCATCCATCCATCTGTCCATCATCCATCCATCCATTCGTCCATCCATCCTTAAATACATGCATCCATCCATCCATGAATGCCTCTAACTTCTTTGTAGGTGGGTTGCATGATAGCCTTGTCATTGTTAGCATGTTAGCATGCTGGTGACCTGCTCTGTACGAACACACACACACACACACACGACTGATTTCAATCTTCTTATCCAACTCAGGAAAAGGAAGCAGCTCAGGGTTTTTTTCCCTGCTGATCTATTCCTTTATAATCATATATCATCTTTTAGTGTCAGTTTTGTCTCTGTTTTGTATTTAAATGACACATTTGATGCTAATATTCATGATGCAAAGACATTATTCAGAAATACTTTCTTCTTCTGTGTTCTTCTGGAGTTCTGACTGTACCCACTGCTCTCATTCCTGAGATGTGATCAGGATGGTTTAATGTGTAAGACATTAGTGGAGGAACATTTATGCACCTTTGTTTTGTTTTGTTTTTTAAATCAAACTTTTAGTATTGTAATATATCTGTTTATGTCCAAATGAAATCAGCTTCTGGCTCAGTCAGGTGTAAAATGTGCGTAAACACAATTTTTTACAATACCGCTAGAGAGCAGTTATTTAAGGAAATGACTTAACAGTAACTATTTATTGTGGGTGGTGTTTCTGATCAATACTCTTTCTTTCTTGTACCCTGCATTACAGACCATTAAAACAACTAATAGCTGCAAAGCGGCAAATTATCCGCACAGCACAGCTCTATTATCACTCTACTGTATTATTAAGTTCCTGTTTTTTTTTGTTGTTACCATTTTCAAAACCTCCTTTGCCCCTGAGCCTCACATACTTGACATAAAATGATCAAATGTCAAGCTGCTGAATAATCGGTGCAACTGCAGAGATCCACCTACTCTAAATATCAACGTAGCCATCACAACAGCTGAGCGGCAGAAGGCAAGAGCTCCCTGGTGAGGAGCTCACCTCCGGCTCCATGACTCACCAAAGAAGCGGATAATGAAGCCGTTGTTGTAGCCATAGACGTTTGTGGCGGGGTCGGACTGGAACTGGATGGTGACGTCGGCAGTGGAGGTGTAGAGCTTGAAGCGGGGCTTCGACCCTCCGTACTGACCCAACACTTTGGCGTTCAGGTCGTCCCCGTCGTAAAAGGTCACCAGGTCGTTCTTGCCGATGTTCAACCTGAAACACAGGAGGAACACTCGCAGTGAAGTCTGGACCTCAACCAGAATCAATTTGGTGGTATGAAGTTTTTCCTTTCAGGGTTTTTTTTTTTTTTTTCATGTGCATAAAAACGCGCTGCTCTCGCTGACCTCGAGAGCCCATGAGAGATATCTGTCGGAACATGATGTTAATGGAACGTCTCACAATGTGTTCCTGCTTTTTAACAGTAATTGCGCAGAGGGCCACGACAACCGCAGGTCAGACCAAGGTTAGAGAGACTATTACAGCATTCATGAGGGGCAGCATGGCTCCTGTTGCCTGAACATTGTCAGGATAATAATGTGACTGTCGACGAGGTGAGATCTTGTGGTTCACATCATTTTATATATATATATGAAAATAATAAGAGTTTGTCGTCTTGGCTTTTTATTCTTTTACATATTGTTTCATCCATTATGACCAGTGGTCACGAAAACGTTTTGCTCACCTTTGTTGAAGAGATTATAGAAACATTATTTAACATAATTATTATTATTATGGAACATCAACTTCACGGGGGCCAGTAATAAAAACCTCCTACAGCTTCCCAGGAGTAGAGATCTGCTCCAAAATGAATAAATCATTGACAATAATAACAATTCTTCTGCATAACAAATGCTTTTAATTTTGACTTTTAACTCCCTGCAGAGCCTCTGAGGACATTATACAACCGCACTGACCACAACAAGAAAACTAATCTTGATTTGTGTGAAATCAGTGAAGTCGCCCTTTTTACAATGAATTCTGTCGTGGACATTTGCCTCTATCAACGATGAATAAGAGCCACCCCCCCCCCGGTCACAGTTTAATTGTCAAAGAGTGGTGTGTGTGTGTGTGTGTGTGTGTGTGTGCTGCTGTGACCGCAGCCTGTAGAGCTGTGGCTCTGTTCAAAGATGTCACCTGGGTCTGAGCCGGGTCTTTGTTGGGAGGAGATTTAGAGCAGGGGAAGAAACGGCTTAGCCAGAATAAAGCAGTGACATGCTCTTTACTGTTGCTAATTAATCACCAGCGGCTCCTGATAAAACTCATTAGCCGGCCTGAGATTGAGCTATTAATCACTATGGGAATGCTGGAAAATCAAAGGTTCAAGAGGCGTGGACCGAATCAACACGTGGCAAAGTCTGACGAAGTCAAATGTTTATTTTTGTTTTATTTGTTTTGTTTGTTTTTCTTTTACTAAAAAGTGGAAGGAATCACAGGAGTCTTTCCACAGGCAGGACCGTTTGTCTTCTTTCAGCTGGAGACGCACATTTAGACACACACACATACGCACACACACACACACACACTTGTATTCCTACACTTGTAAGAACCTTATCTATACAGTAACCCTCTGATCTAAATATAACGCATGTTAACCAGCCAGAATATATTATGTCTCTCACATTCGGTCCTTCCTCAGGAGTAAATACATTTAATCAACTTCTTTTGCTGCATACATCAGTCATGTCCTGTGGGACTGAAGACTTGTCCTCAGGTGTTCCCAGCAGGTGTGAAACAACCAACAAGTCCTTCATGTTGTTTGTCCCTGACCGTCTGATACGACCGGACTGTTTCCTTCCTCCTGTGGCAGCTGCAGATCTGCCACGGATGATCTGCTAAAATAAATAACTCAACATTTTATGATGAGGATTTATAGTTTGTTTCCAAGTTGATGCCAACGTTCTGGAAAGGCAACGGTGATTGTTCTTCTACAGTAAAACAATCACAACAAGGAGGCAGCAGCAGGCGCCGGACTGGTGCATGGAGATACTTTATATTTGTCGTGGATGATCAGGGACACGTTATAGACGACCAGGAGCCGCCAGGAAACACCTCAGACTGACTCACAGAGTTTCAGTTGTTCACTTCAACGCGTCGTCAACATGTTCATGTCCTGAAATGTCACTGTTATTGTTTGTGAACTGCGACAGCTGTCGTAGCAACGCTCCACACACAATGTTCACAAAGGCTATCGTTAGCTTGTCTAGGCTAACACAACATTAGCAGGTTCGTCAATTTAGACTGCTGCTTGCACACTGACTACACGGAAGTGTGTGCACGTGTATGCACACATAGTCCATGTGGTAACAAATCCACAATGTACCCACAACGTTACGGTAAAGGTTTGGTAAAGCTGAGGCACAAAAACAACTTAGGTTTAGTGGAAGGTGATGGTTCAGGCTGAAACAAGTACTTCTTTGAGGTTAGAGGACCTTTGTCGTCATGGTTACAATAATAAACACGAGGTTCAGGTTATAGAACGATCAGGAGACAACCAATCAGGTTGAAAGAGGAGAAAAAAAAAACAACAGTCTCCTGGATTAAAGTTCACTGAAGGAGAACGAGAAAAACAACCTGAGGCGCCGGAAAAGTAAGAAGCCAGAGCTGCAGGACCTTCATCAGTCAGCGCTGTCCGCCCGTGCAACAGTGTGGTGGCTACCTGTGTTTGTGTTGGTGCTAAGACAGCACATCGTTCCTACATGACGTCTGTCAGTCCTGACCTGTTTTCAATGACATTAACAGGGATGATGCTGTGTTTAAATTTAAAACAGTCAAAAAGAGATAAAAAAAAAAAAAAAAATAGGTCAGGTTTCCAAAGCCTATGTAGTGCAGTGTGCTTTGATTATTTATTTATTTTTTAATTTACTTCAAAAACGTATCATACAGCATCAGTGTCACTGTCACTGCTCTTCTCCTTTTGACAGTTCACCCAAAGTTAGTTTCCACCCCTCAGTATTTTCTGTGGCGACAGTGTTAGAGCACAGTGTGAGGCCTGGGGGGATATTTCTACCATTATTCATAAAAATAATAATAATAATAATAATAATACTGGTGTGACTTCCTATAGCATTTAACTCACACAAGGTTTCAGGGGATCTTACATAACTTCATGCTAAACATTTTACAGCAGCAACAAGTTACTGATTATAAATGAACGTATGTGTTTCAGAGAGTCAGTGAAAGAAAGTTGCCTGACTTTGCATCACGTTAGCTTTGATGTTACCATGAGGAAATATTACATTCAAATACTTTGGGTTTGTCATGTGGATTGAGTGGGTGGTAGTTTAGGGCAGTTAGAATAAATCACAGTGTGGTTAGGATGGAAATGAATGGCAGAGTACTATTAATACTGTAGTACTGTAATACTGTAGTATTACAGACACTTTTATATCCACAGAGTGAGACTGTTTGACACTGAAAAGACTGTGGGAACTCAAATATCTAGCTAAATTTCAGAAAATAATAACGTGAAGAGAGACTGGATTTATTCAAATTTGACATTCACAGTGTAAATGCAAAATTAAGTCATGCTCGACTGTCCTGTGTGATTTCCAAAATGCACTAAAATACAACACTGTCACCATAAGTACGTGCTAGACTACACTGAGGCTGAGGCAAACATCCACAAGTGATCTTACTTCCTCTGTTTTGTTTGGTATTTCTGCATTAGATCAGTCTGTTTGTGGTTTTAATGTGTTGATTTCACAGCATCACGCAGCAGCTACAAGATGTTGATGTTATTATTTAAATTCATTCTCTGAGAGCCGTGTTCACTCTCAAAGGACAATTTCCCTTCTTTTCCTTTTGAAACATCTCTCATTTGCAGCTCTGACTGAGACTAAAAATATCCTCACCTCAAAATTTCAGTGCAGTGTTGATGTTGTAAATTATAATAGAGTTTCTGAAAGTCCAACCTATAAACTCTAGCTGTAAACCCTAAGCCTAAAAACGACATAATATTAACTACTCTTAAACTCACATCAGGTGCAGGTGAGGCCAGGAAAAATGGCCTCACCTTGATAAAGCTGCTGTCTTTCTGACGACCTGGAGCCGGGCCTCACAAGTGTAGTAAAACAAGCAAAGTGTTTTTCCAAACCCATGGTGCTCCATGTTTATTTGATTGCAGACGGATGAAGCTTCTCCCTCACTCGCTCGCTCGCTCGGAGGACGGGACAGGTTGAGAAATATTTTCAGCTGGTGTCAAATTTGCTGTGATTAAGCTAAACAAGGCTTTATGTGGCTCTGCGGCACATCTGTAGAGAAAAATCAATCGCAGCCTCCGTTCCCTGACACTAATTTGATTTGGTTCAATTTGTAAAAAAACAGGGCTGAGTTTGGCCTAGGCCCCCAGGACCAGCTGCCAACACATTTCACCTCAGCTATTCACTTCATGATCCGCTCTTTCCCATCTCTCCCACTGTCGGAAATATAGGAGGGAAATGGTTTTGGCTGCTGTTGCACTGCTTCTCTGAATATCTGTCATCCATGCTGGTGAAATCATTTACCTTTTCCTCTTTCATAAGAATGGTAGATGTAATATGTTTAAATCCATCACATGCCAGTGATATTGACATTCTCAAGCTTTATACAAATTGCTTAACTGATATCAACTGTTTTCAAACTGTGTCCATCTCAGCTGTCTGATATATCCTCTAATCAAATTTAACCTCCAATTTGCATCATCAGCAATAGGAAAATAAAGCGTTTATTCTCAAACACAGGGGATAGTATCAACAAAATGATTATCACGTATTGATCACAATTCTTAAAAGGTCGGAGGGGCGTGCAGACGGGGCTTGATTGACATTTCCCTCGGTTAGCTCTGTAGCACTTTGTAGGTCAGAACAACCTGCATGTTTATCAGTCGCACTGCTGCATGATGAACATAATTCCTTGTACTCTGTTCTCACAATTGTGTGTCTGAACAAACCAGAGAGACAAAAATTCCAGTGAATCTAATATTACACCAACAAACACGTAGCCTATCAATACACTGACGTATATGAGATAAGATATCAATGTAAATAACATATGAAATACTAAAAAAAGAAATAAACTACTGCTAAAATGTCCATGAATTTCAACGCTTTCTCTACAAAGGTAACATAGCAAGGTAGGTATTTTAATCTGTCACAAACATGCAACACGATGTGACAAGGAGTCGTATACTTATTAGCTTAGCACACACCTCTATAGAAATACGCCCCTTCAGTTGGCTAGCAGGCTGAAAAGTGAAGCAAGTAACCAGCATGTGCAGCCGACATTCATCTTGCAACTACAGTAACGCTTTCCTTTCCCGATGAAAACACTCAATCCAACAATATTTCACATCTTCACTTACAGACATTTGTGATCCAAGTCTAAACCGTGTGTGTGTGCACTGTAGGTCCGCCATGTTGTTTTCATGGTGGATGGAAAATGAAAAGTATGAGAAAAAAAACTTGCATTACCTAGAATGTCCACTAGGGACCAGTAATGCAAACTGAACAGGGATCAGAACAGCTGGCGTGTTCACCTGGAGACAGTGAGCAGTCTCAACTTTAATTCATTTTGATGCTCCACTTATATAAAACATAGGATGAGAATCCTGGGCATTGTTATCAAAAAGCGGATGAGGGATATCAAATACAGCAGAAAAGATAAATCACCAGATGATTCTGTGAAGCCACTGAACACCACAACCCGACATCATCTGACAATGTAACAGCATGTGAGGTGGATTGTTTCTCTAATGATGCAGCTAATTACCACTTTACCGGCGACTGGCGTTTGAAAAGGCGATGTTTTTGATGCTCATCCAGGAGCAGTGGACAGTGGTCTGTAATTTGTGGGAGAGACAGTGATTTCATTCATTTCACTTCCCCCACTTTCCCTTTAATCACACCTTTCACTCCCTCCTCTTTCATTTGAAGGCCATCCATAAAAGTCATTTGATACAGCCCGGTGATAATGTCCCTTTTGCCATTACGCAGATGGAGCGGGAGATATGTATATGTGCGTGTGCACAGGTGTGTGTGTGTGTGTGTGTGTGTGGAGTGTGAGGAACCAATTCCCAGGGACCTTGTTATAGGCCTCATATATCTCTCTGTACGCGGCCTAACCCCGAGAGCTCAGGGAGAACAGCTGCTACTGATAAGCTTCATATAAATGCTCAGACACCTGTTAGGCATATGCTCAGACGTGAGGAGGCTTTGTGCTGGATTAGAACTTTCTCTCCATGGAAATCTCTGTTCTGCTCAACTCCCATGAGCACCACTCCGTGAAACTGGACCACGGCGTGCCGACACCTCGAGTTAAGTTTCAGACTTTTCAAAGATGGTCATCCACACAGTACAATGAAAATCCTCTCTACCAGCTCCTTATTCTGGTGGTTTTACTTTTGTCGGGATGTTGCCTCCAGAACAAGCGATGCAGAGAAGTGGTGTGGACACACTCCTTCTTAAAGCTCCATATTTTCCTCTTCTCCTGTGTTTTATTTAAAGTGATGGTCCATAAGAAGATATATTTGTGGTTTTAAGAACCAAAAACCATCTCAATGTAGTTCACTCCATAACGCTTTGGATTGATGTAAATGTAGGTTTGTATTTGTTTTAAAGCTCCCTCCATGTGTAGTGTGATTATAGATCAGGTCTAGCTTCTATATTAATACTGTGAAAGTATCAAAGCCTCAGTCCACAGAGAAATGCACACAGCCTGTATTCAGAAACTGAGCCTTAAAACCAGCCGTCAGGACTTCTGGAACTTTGTGATGTCACAACAAAGCAGTCACCAAGCCCCGCCCACCTGGACCCACCATCCAAACCTTGCAGGATTTGGTTTCTCTGAGTGTTTTTACCTGAAATCTGCTGTATTTTTATTGTATTACTCAGAAAACAGTCAGCCAATCAGAAGAGAGGCTCAGAGCCTCCTCTCTTCTGATTGGTTCACCGACCTGTTGTTACTAGAGCTGCAGAGAGAAGCCTGAGAGAGGAGATGTGAAACTACACTGAGATGGTTTTTGGTTCTTATGGATCAACGCTTCAAAATAAAAAGCAGAAGAAGAAGAAAATATGGAGCTTTAAGAAATCACAGGAAAGTCTTTAACCTCAGCTCTTATGCAGCTGACAATGACCTTGAAGTTAGATGTCGCCTGAGCAAACACTGGAGGATTAATATCAGTATGTGGAGTATGTCTTGTATCAGTATGTGGACGAGTGTGTCACATCAGAGAAAGGAGAGAAAGATGAATTTGATCATGTGCATTACTGAACCTCGACTTTACACTTAGAGAAGTAGTTTAAGTTCAAGTAAACAAAAAGGTAAAACATTATTTTCGAGCAGCAGGATGTTTTTCAGGTGGTTATATTGTCTGAATGTTTTCACTGGGTACCTTCACCTCCACTGAAATCACCCGCTCCGCCAAATGAACAGCAGCAATTACTTATGTTGACAGACTTCCTTTCAAAAACTAGAGGAAGCCATTAATCAATGCTTCTCAAAACACAACAGGAGCACAGGTGGTGCTCAGAGAGAGACAGAGAGACAGAGAGAGAGAGAGAGAAAGAGAAAGAGAGAGGGAAGAAAGGGGAAGCAAAACAGAGCTCAAGATGCAACCGATGCAAATGAGCCCTCCTTAATTTGCTAGCAAATGGCGAGTGATTTTCGATGGCTGACTGACTTATCGGGCTGCGACACGGCGGGGTGCGGTGTTCAGTGTCTTCACCTTGGCACTGCAATCACAGCAAAACGCACACTACCATGCTGAACACGCGCGCACACCCTCTACTCCACACAGCAGCCATTTACAGGAGTGTGTGAGGTGGGGGTGGGGGTGGGGGGAGGGGGGAGTGGGGGCCTCCCATCCTGATATAATTAGCTTTCTCCGCTGCACCTAATTAACCTTTGTCTGTGTGGCACTTCACAAGCCGAGCGCTCTTTCATTAACAGCCGTTGTGTTTTTTTTTTTCGTGTGTTTTACCAGTCATGGTGAGGTAGCTCTTCATAATCTTCAAACTGCGTCTAAGCCTCTGTGTGAAGCAGGGACTGGGGTACGTACGCATCATCTCGGGAAACGAACTGGGTTTTTGTTTAGATTAGATTTAAAAGAGGAAGGGGGGGGGGTTGCAGTAATGTCGGTCTGTGTATACGGGGTGAGGTGGCGGATCTAACTGCACGTGTGGAAGGATACGTACACTTGAATGTCCAGCATGATCCTCTTATCCTCCTCCACATGGATTCCCCAGATGCAGTCCTGGCCTTTATCGTAGGCTTCGGGCCAGTTGGGAGAGAGCACCACTCCGGCTGAATCTGTGATCTCACCACTGCACACAGCTGAAACACACACACACACAAACACACACACACTCAACCACGCATAATGTACAGGTCATTTTTACCAGCGTGCAAAGAGCAACAGGGGTGGGCGTCAAAATTGCTAATGCAGTTCCTGGACTTCAGGGTCCAATACTGAAACGGTCTGTTTTTGACACCTCTACCTTTGTTTCTTTCATTTAATAAAAGAATCCAAAACCCTCAAACGTTGAACACTTAGTCACCGCAGAGACTTCCTTTAAGTGTCTTAATGGGTTTTAAATAAAAAGCATGAGTTCACCTTGTTGCCGTGTATGTTGTAGAGTCAGTGCCGAGAGCTCAATAACGATGTACATGTTTATAAAGAGGAAAAGTTAAAGGGGCTTTTTGTAAGTTTTCTCTGTGGTTTCTTGGTGGTGATTGTTGCTTAACCAGAGCTTCGGTCATTGTTGCATTTACAAGACAAGAAGTTATAATACGTTACATATAAATGTTGTTCACACAACTCTCGCTCTTGGTCTGACTTTCTTCATTTCACCTGTATGAAAAAGCCTCCCTTTGTTGCGCTTGATTATAAAATTAAATCAATTAAAGATTGAGGAAACTTGCACAGCCGATTTTTTTTTAATTGTACTTCTGAGTAGAATCCATACCAAAAACTGTAGCTGTGTGAAAAGAGCTGTACTAAAACTCTGAGGTGTGAACAGGTGAATGTGAAAATGACCAATCGATGCTGTTTTACGATGTATGGATTGTTTCAAGCCAGCAATTTGTTGCATTTTCACTTGCTGACTGAAAGTGCAGCATAAATTACACCTAGGTACTTTTGCACTGAATGAAATCATTCTATATGTTTGTGTATTTTACAGGCACAAACACCCATCATAGTTAAAGCTGCAGCTGCCATGAGCCCTGCTGACACACTGTCTATTCATTTTAAGAGAAGTGTGTCGGCGTGACAGATGTAATATACAACAGGATGCACCTGGTGTATCTGGATGGGCACAGACATACAGACCTCTGCAGGCCGGCTCCGTCTCATTCCACTGCGGATTGTTGGGATCCATGCATTCGATGGTGACCGATCCCTGCTCCAGAGTATAGCCGGGGTCGCAGGCGAACTCCACCACGGCTCCCACTGCCCATGTGTTGTCGCTAGCTGTCAAGTTACCGTACTTCACGAAGGGCTCGTAGCAGTGGCCGGCTGCAAAGGCTGTGGAGAGAAGGTACGGGTTATGTTATTTACCAAAGAGTGAGTGAAAAGCTATGTGTGCCAGGTGAACTAGGTCAACATGGTCCGTAATGAGTTGCCACATCCATCATTTAATGGATTTAACTTTTTATCTTGCTGCAGTGAAAATGGTTCATAATATCTGAGGTACTTGTGAGAGTCGTTCAGTTCTGGCTGTAATGTAATGGTGTTGGTCGGTCCACAGACTGAAATATCCTGAAGAGCTTGGATGCACTGACATTAATTTCGGTGAAGATATTCAAGGTATTGAGAGGACCTATTACAAAGCTTGGTTGTGACATTCATGCCTCTCCAAACTCCCCCCACACCTGGGTTTTTGCGTAGCTGTAGACCTCCTGGTTGGCCTGTACCTGCACGACAGGCCTTCTTCTCCAGCCTGATGGCTTCCTTCACTGCTGTGGTCCACCGGCGTGTTCTCAGGCCGCCCCACTCAGATTCCACGCCCCCCACCCTCCCTGAGGACGCATGAGAAATCCTTCCAGAGGTGGGAGTTAAAGGTCTCAAGGCCAGATGTTCCCAGTTCATTCTCATTACATATTTGGGTTAAAGGTCTGTCCAGGAATCTCCCCCGCCATCTGATCCATCTCACCGTGATGGATGTGGCGGTGGTCTCAGGTCAGGACTGCAGAGGTAATCATCGATCTTTGGCCTGAGGTCTTCTGGTACCTGGAACACTTATGAACCACCCTGCACTTGAACATGGTGTTTGTAACGGCCAATCAATATCCAATAATGTCCATTAACAAAGAACCAATTGGACCGTTTTTCCAGGTCATCCTCTTTGAGGTTTCTTGAGCATTGAAATCCCCCAACAGAACTTCAGAATCCCTCGGTGGTATACTTTCTAGAAGCTATAATACAATTTGTGTAGAAGTAAATGCCATAAATATAATCTTTGAGATGAATCAATGAGTTCGAGAATCTTTCAAATTTTGCTTAAAGGACACGTTCTTTTGAAGATGAGACAGAAAGATGCACAGGAGAGAAAGAGGCGGTTAGAAACGGCTAAATGAACACTCATGAAAGATGTTATCTGTTTACCGGCGTGGGAACGGTTCGTCAGGATAAAGTAGCGACTATCAAATCTGCTGGAGACAAGCTGAACAGCATTACGTGCTGTTAATGGCCGTAATGAGGTCCGCTGGAATTATGCATGGCTGCTCCCTTTGGACCTAATCCCATTTGTAGCAGTGAAGCGGCGGCCTAAGCAGATTACACTGATTGTATTTCCAAGTGGTCCTTGTGGACCGGAGACAAGCTGCTTATCTGATGGCGAGAGCTGAGACAAATGCGAGGACAAAAGATAAGAGAAGCTCAGTGATATCTCACCTTGACAGTGTCGCTTGAAACTCACTGTAAAATAACATCATATGGATTCTGAAGCTGCAAATTAATATTGTGCACCTGAAAGACTTGCCCTTGATTCTTGTATTCCCAGACACCGTTAAATTGCTGCAAAAGCAACTAACGTAAAAGAGAAATCAATAAAGAGAGGGACCGTTCAACGGCTAAGGAAGCATTTAACTGCACCCAATAATGTGTTTATTGCCAAGATTATTGCCAGCAATGAAGGCAGTAATGGAAGTGAAACATTTCTTTTGATTATCCAGACAGTGTTTTAGTAATGGGGCTTTTGTTCTGACAAAATGTGTTTTTCCTTTCCCGCATTAAATTCCATCGAGGAAATATAAAGGTTTATATTGAATTATGTTTCATGGCGTCAGTCTCGCTCCGTCACACTCGTCCACTGGGGTTCCTCCTCTCGCCTCAGCTTCATCCAGGATTCCTCCCCTTGGACCAAATTAGGATTTTAAGCAACGCCAGTGGCGCGGCTCCAGGCGTGGCACTGTCAGCGGGTTGGTCTGTTCTGTTGGTGTGTTGGACCATCAGTTTGGTTCAGACTGAAATATCTCAACAACTATCAGTCAACCTGCTGTGTCATTTTTGTGCAGACAACTCCTGGTCCTGGGAGAATAAACCCGGCAGACTTTGGTGCTCCCCTGACTTATTCTCTAGCTCCACCATGAGATGTGGTACACAGTAAAACCTCTTGACATCTATTGGATAGATTATGATAAAAATACCATGAAAGTATTAGATGGACTGATTGGATTCATAAGTATTAATACAGACCTGCTTTATAATCAAAGAACACATGGACATCTGCCTTTATACAATATGAGACCTTTAAATAGCACTGATTTTTTTTATACCAAACAAACCAGAGGAAAAAAAGACACTTGAATTTTCTATTTGAATTTGTGATAAAATTCAAATAATTGTGCGGCCATTTTTGCCTCCATAATACTTTGAGATAATGAGTAATTTAAAACACTTTATTGTAAGTGCAGCGTGATACATAATGGCATTATAATCCTATTTGAAGGTGTTAACATTAACTTTTCCAACCATATAATCATCAAACAAAAGCCAGAATTTTAATTAATGTTATCATATTAGACCAGTTTATTTATAATAAATAGAAGAGCTCCACTCATACACCTATAGAAAGTCTCCTATTATTACTACAGCACTTCCACCTTTCAGACACTTGCCAGGTTTTCTTCAGACCACCTCTTCATATATCCCTTTTACCAACCTCGTTTTCTTTTCACCGTCTGAAAGGAGCTTTTCTCTGCTTTCACACAGTCCAGCACTGCGGCACTCGTGTCGGCCTTGATTACATGAATTTCATCATCACTAGAATTCCTAACCTCTATTTACCAGTCGGCTTTCTTACTTTATTCTGCAGAAAGTCTTTGTTAATTATGTCTTTAAATCAACAATTCGCTGAGAATTCACAGCAGGTCAGAGTTTCTGACTGATGCCTAGCTGTTCCCGGCCTCTGGAAAAAAAAAATGAGCTCTCATCTTTTCATATGGAGTGGTGTGTTTTCATGGTAATTCCTGTCTGATTGCATCTTCTGCATTGTTTTCTCTGTGTTTCGCTCTAAATCTTACCTTGGTACCTGATTGCAACGCCAGTGGACGTGCCTGTAGCATCTGTCGTCAGCTCAATGAAGAGGTGCCTGGACGAGCTGAGTAAACCCTCATTAGGCAGATACTCCACCTCGTATGAGTCATACAGGGCAGCTGCGTCTATGCTGTTACCGTTTTTGATCAGCAGCCTAGAGGAAAGAGAGCAAGCAGTCGTTAGATTTCTGTCTCCTGCCATACTCCATCCGTCCACCAGATGTCCTCAGGCTTTCCCCCTCCTCACAGATCTTCCTGTTTCCTGTTCTCAATCATTTGCTCCTTTGTATTTACCCCAGCTTCTCTTCTTTCCCCACTTAGCTGCTGGATTGTCTTAGTGTGTCTCCCTTTGGAAACGTGTTCCTGCTGCCTGCCTGTATTTTACCAGTCAGTCATTTTGAAAGATATAACAGGTTCTAATCCCTTGTTTTAAAGTCTAATACTGTATTACAGTACGTCTATGTTGCAGCAAACACTTTTAACACCTGTTGGAAAGTAATTCACCTTAATTCTGCAAATAAAAACATAATTCCAGTACAATACTTTCCCATTTTCTTTTATTATGAAATACACTAAGCTTTTTCCAGTGTAGGGGTCATGGCTCCCACCTGTGTCTTGTGTTGGAAATAATGTTCTATAACATTGTAAAAAACTTCATGGTGAAAGCTTCACACAGAATTGAGAGTATGTAGAGAAAAGAGGCTGAAATGTGCAGAGATTTCTTAAAGGAGCTATTTGTATGTTTTGCTATTCATTCCTTTACTCTTCAAACTCTCCAGCGCTGGAAAGGGACACTTTTGTTTTGCTTTTGTCTTCCTGAAGTTAGCATGCTAACCAGCTAGCCCCAGCCCAGTTGGCCTGTCTCGTCCCTTTCCGATACTGAGTCACTGTAGCATCCGGTACACCCCGAAGATGCAGCGCTGCTCAGGGGATGTATTATCAATACCTCTTGTATTGTAAACGTAACAATGGCTGAAGCTCTTGGCAAGAATGCTAAGTAAACAGCTGTTAATGCTAACGTTGACGATGTAGCATTAGCAAAATGTACAAATATCTCCTTTGAAATGTGCAATAAACACTTACCATTTACTACTTAACACGTTACACTTAATTACCACTGCAGAAATGCATGTGTTTACTTTTTGATCCAGTTATTTGTATAGGCATAACAATGGATGTATTAAAAAGGGGGAAAGGAGCAACGCCACTGTTTACAACGGGCAGTTTGAATAATAATTTTATAGTTCATGTAAATTAACCCACTTACGATCATTAATTACATCTGAATTTCTACTGATGTTAAATTCCACGGCAGACAGCTGTGACCCCGCTGATGCCTAATGCAGTGTTGTCATCTGCAGCTGGTGGATCTATTGAAGCAGTCAGTTCCTCCTCTGCATGTCACACCCCCTCCACCAGTGGCGGCCCCCACCCCTTGGCTCTGTTCCTTTATGGTTCCCCGTGCATTGATCTCTCCCCGCTGCCTTTGATGACTTAAATTATTCCTCTCAGGTAGCAGTGTTACAGCATAACAGAGTCTCCACGTCAAACTAAAACCTTTATTTACATTTATTCTTCATGTTTCTATTCACACTGACTGAACCGAGCTGAAGGTGAATATTCTTCCTTCCCTTTGGTTTATTTCTCTGAAGTGGGGGGAACAGTTTTGGTTCCTCCTCTTCGGTTTAGTCATGAAACAAAAGTGATTCCCCCCCGAAAAGGTCCAGAGAGTTGATGAAACGACCTCCGACACCTCCACCTCTGCGCTGCCTCCTCCTACACTAGGTGTTTCCAGGACCACATTTCACCATGGTGACACACACACACACACACACACACACACACACACACAGACTCACAAGGCCCTGTTGCGGCTGGAAATGACGGTGGAGCCAGACATCCAATCAAAGACATGCTGATGATTCCTGCTGATGATTTTGCTGCTCTTCTGTTGTGTTTATCTGATCGAGCTCACATTACTAAAGTCACTGAATTGGTATGTATGGAAAGACTAAAGGAGCAGATGGCTAACAAGGAATCGTTGTCTTTGAGAAGCCATCAGACCTCATTACGCTATCATATTTCACACCCGTGCCAATTCTCTATCCTCAGCACATCATCACTTCTTCCTGATCTTTTCAGTTTCCTCAGAGCTGTCCAGATGTCTCTTCATATCTACAGGGTCTATATTTGTAGCAGGAGCATAAGAGCAGCCCGGAGCAGCTATTGGCTGGTATACAAAATGGATTATTCAGCTAATTTTCCCCCCTGTGGCTCGTCTTTTCAGTCCTCTCTTATGAGAGCTCCATGCTGCTTAAATGACACTGTACTGTCACCGCCACGAGCTGCACTGACAGCCAGTTGTTACCCCGAGGAGTCGTCTGAAAAGATGCTCTTACTGAAACCAGAAGGTATGACGCACGACTGAACAGGAAGTTAAAACATCCCGTTAACCCACGAGACATCGACATTAGACCATTTATCAAAAAAGGAATAAAATTGGATTAGATTGGCTTCTTGAGTTTAAGCCCCTGAAGTAAAAATTTTGACCATCATGCAACATTAAAACTCACTGCAGATAATAATCCAGAGCTTTTATCTTTCTGTTGGTTGTTTGTCAGTGTGAACATCTTTAAACCTGCAGTAACTGATTGTTTGAGACTGTCCTTCAAAAACAACGAGCCTGTAGGTCATCTGTGCAGCAGGTTATTATGACCAATAGTTACGTTTTGTTGCTAGGCAACATCTCTTGGCCGTAGTAATTATAACAGGAGCAAAGGAAGAAGTCCAGAGACGTAGTATAAAGACAGTCCATGTAGGGAGGAGGTTGTGGTGGATGGATGGGTCAACAAAACACAGGAATATGACCCAGGAGAGCGGTGTTCAATTCCCATGTGAAAGTAGCAGTTTATATTGTTTCTTTTAATCCGTTACTTTGTTATTATTGTAACCATGACAACAAAAATCGTCTAATATTGACAAAGTAATTACCTTTAACCCAAACCACTAAACCTAACCGAGCCATGACTGTTTATTATAGTAACCACGGCAACAAAGGTCTGATGCAATGCTGCTGGTACAGTATGCATGTTTATTATTGTAACCATGACAACCAAGGTCTGGTACATCTGCCGCTGTAGGGGAACTATTACAGGAGACACTCCTACGGGTCGTGTTAGAGGGTCGGAGGGCTGGTTCAGTTCTTCAAAGTCGATATCACCTTTTAGGTTGATGCGGTGAACTTGTTACTGAATTGTTGCTAATTTACACATCCACCAGTCTCGCAGAAACATTATCTTTCATATGGAGTCGGGTTTCTGGAGACTTTAATCCAGATTTCCTGCTTTTTTTTTACCTCTGTTTTTGGTCTCCACCTGTTCCAGGGGGAAACACCTGACTCCTGCAGCTGCTAAATGCTCCACTGCGTTCACTAGCCAGTTGCTGACTGTGTCTTTCTGCCATTTGGTGCTGAGCAGGTGTACAGCAGGTTTTTTAGATGCCACGAGAGCGGTGAGAGTTAACCACATTAGAAAAAAGCTGGACGTCCTGCTTACCGATCATCGTCCTCAGCCAGCGCCACCTTCTCAAAGTGGATGTGAAGTCTCTGGCCCTCGGGGGCCTCCAGCAGCCAGTGGCAGGTCAGGTTGTTGCTGTAGTTGCTGGGAAAACCAGGAGAGATGATCCGACCGACTGTGACGTTCCTGATCAAACCACCGCAGGCAGCTGAAGAGCGAGAGGAGAAGCAAAAGTGCACTATGTTTTTTTTTTGTTGTTTTTTTTCTCACATTCAATTTAAATTCAATCAAATTCACAGACTCCTGCTGAGAGTGTCCCATCCCCCATCAACCTGCTGATCTCAGATGAACCTTATTTGTCTGAATTAAGATCTGAAATAACCTGTTTGCTATCTGCTGCTCCCCGTTTGACTTTTTAACAGCAAAATTTGCATTAAAAATGTAATCATAGAATCTAAACTATTCTTGATTTGATGTAATTCTTCAAACTGGGTGATTACTGTAGACTGTAATTTGTCAGTGAGTGGATTTGTGGATTTGCAGATTGCATCCAAGACCTTTGGTTTCAATTTAAGAGTGAAAAAGGTCAAACAGGAAGTGTTCAAACAATCATCTGTTTATTTTTCATGAAGAGAACCAAGAAATGAGGTGAAAAAGAAACATAAGTGATACACTGAGGAAAATCTATCTGCAGGTACAGAAAGGTGTGTGTGGGTTTCTGTTTGTGTGTGTGTGTGTATGTTTGTGTGTGTTGTTTCCCAGCTGATCAGGTCAAGGTTACTCATGCAGACAAAGCTTAATTAAAGCAGAACAGGAAGAGTAAACCCAGTGGCATCCTGCCCAGCCTTCAGTAATCACACCTCAATACACCTGCTTTATGCTCTGACTCACACACACAAACACACACACACACACACACACACACACACACACACACACACACAATCGAGATGGCAGAGATACAGATGCACAGCCACACAAACTCGATCTTAGAAATTGCTTTCAGAGGCACATTCCCTGCGCTGTGAATCAGAGGCGATCCGAGTGGTCAGGAGCAAAATTGTCACTTTTTATTCATCAGCCGGCCTCATCGGAGCAGATAAAGAAGAAAAAAAAAACATCCATCATCCACGCATGCCTGTGGGAGTCCAGGTCCGTCTGTCTGTGGCTGTCATGCAAAGGACCTGAAGGTCCAATAGATAACTCCTGGCTGCTGCAGTAATGTTGTTAGTGTTGATGGGAATTGGGTGAAAAACTGAAGGACAGAAAAAACACTAAAAATAAGAAAGAAATTCTGAAAGTAAAAGATCTGTTGATTCTAAAAGGCCAAGTTTACTCACAATACAAAACGCCACCACAATGGTGTACCATGCTAACAGATGTAAGTAATGCTAACAGCTCGTAATGCTAACATTGTAAATTAAGTTTTGTGTTTAGTTAGTAATTTTCGTCATGTCTCTGTCCACAGTGAGTTAAAAGGACTAATAATAATATTGATGCATGTGTATGTAACGCTATAAATAACTATGCTAATAATAATGCTAATGCTAATGCTGTAAAAGAAACATTTTTTGTTGTTATTTGCAGTTTAAGCTATATGTATTATTATTATTATATTGATTTATCAAAGAGCTAAAGCCAATTATGCTAATAATGTTTATGCTATTTATTATGGTAATGCTAATATATGTCTTCTTATTATACATATATTACCCAGTACATTTAAAGAATTATTTATTACTATTATTATTGAAAATAATGTGACGAAAGATATCGGTTTCATCACTACATCTCAGTCTACTGTTTACAAATATGTATTTATCACAGTTTAAATATATATAGTATTGTTATTATTTTTTTTGTTATTATACTATGTGTTATTATATTATTTTGTAATATTATTATAATGTATGGTATTAAGGATTAAAATAACAAAATAAAAAGTAATTTTAATAACTAATAACACCAACAATATGTCTATATTTTCACATTATCATAATAAGAGATCAATTACAAAATTTGCAAATATCACAATAAATATAAAATATGAAGACTACAAATGGTTTGACCTTTAAAGAGAATCCATTTAAATACAGAGTCACACACTCATTACTTTAATAACAATATGTGAATAACACTGATTCACAGAAATAAATATAAAGTAATTACATCAGAGTTGTGACTATGACAGTCTTTAAATGAAAGATAATTAAAAATGTAATTATTGTAGAAATACTTATAATACAGGGACATAATTGTAATAATTTGAAATGAACTTCAAGTGTCTAGTTCCTGTCTGTGGCGCTGTGGATATCGAGGGTCGGCTTTGACTGTTTCCTCCAGGTTGTGGTGACCTTACCTAGACAGTGCGGTTCCTTGCCACTCCAGTAGGGGGTGCTAGCATTGCGGCAGGTCAGCACACCGGGGCCCTGCAGCTGGTAGCCGGTCAGACAGGAGAAGAACGCCTCCCCTCCAGAGTGAAGACTGGTCACTGACACATCACCGTAAAGAGGCCGCTGGGGGAAGACGCAGCTGAGCACGAAGACTGCAGACACACAGACGGGGAGACAGTCAGGGAGACAGAGGATGAAACAGGTGAAGACAGAAATGGAGAGAGAACTGAGCTGAACAGGTGACGCTTGTTTCCAGAAGCTGGAAGGAAAGAAAGAAACGAAAGAACCAAAGAAACAAACTGACAAGTAAAAAAACAACATTCCCTGCACTTCAACGTGATTAATTCAGTATAATGCACTTTCTCCACAGCACTGATTCCAACACTTTAACCATTTAATCAAGTCATGTAGTTTTACATCTCCTCTCTCAGGCTTCTCTCTGGAGCTCTAGTAACAACGGGTCGTAGAGCCAATCAGAAGAGAGGAGGCTCTGAGCCTCTCTTCTGATTGGCTGACTGTTTTCTGAGTGATCCAATAAAAATATAGCAGATTTCAGGTAAAAACACTCAGAGAAACCAAATCCTGCAAGGTTTGGATGGTGGGTCCAGGTGGGCGGGGCTTGGTGACTGCTTTGTTGTGACATCACAAAGTTCCAGAAGTCCTGACGGCTGGTTTTAAGGCTCAGTTTCTGAATACAGGCTGTGTGCATTTCTCTGTGGACTGAGGCTTTGATACTTTCACTACCACTACTGCTTTCACTGCTTTATAATCAAACAACACATGGACAGCTCATATGGGACCTTTAATATGTTCAAATATATATGACCTTATTTTCTGAAAATGTCAACTTATAGCCCGACATATTATAATGTATCATTTTGAATGAAGATGTCTGCATCAACAGAGGTAAATAAAACAACAAATGTCGAGTGGAAAATACACAGCAACACCACAGTGGCATTTAGTGTGCCAGTGTCCCCCTGTGGATACCGCCTGCCGGGTCTGTGCGGTAGCATTAAGACTCATGCGCACACACACGCACACACACGCACACACACTTAGACAAAGGTCTGTCACGTTAGTGTGTGGGAGAAGACGTCTGGGCTGGCTCTCGGCTGACCAGTTAACTAACTGGCTTTTTTTATTGCCAATGATCCGTCTTCCCTCAGCCTCCCGGTGTCGGGCCAAACAAATTAATAATATATTTCTGCTAAAGTCTCTGATCCATCTCACTGTAATTGTCCTAGTTTTATTGTGAGCCCTTGGATGGCTTAGCAGTGGGGCTGCTATTGATTCTGTCTGTTGGGGACAACGCCGTGCCTCAGGCAAGGAAATATGTAGGGAGATTAAATAGGCCAATAAATGACAACCTATGACCTGCGCCGCTTCCAACGCTCTGTTAGTGTTGAGGGATGATGCCAGCACTGTAGTGTCTCATGAAAATAGAGATAAGAAAGGCAGTGTTGGTCTTTATAGTATTTCTCATTAGAGCATCATCCCGGACTAGTGCTGCTGTAGCAGCAGCAGCTGCTGGAGCTGCGTCCTATCACTCCCTGAGCTAGTCATTACCATGGTCTGCTGTAGCTATTAATATCCAGGCCAACCAAAAACTATGAAACTCACAGGCTCACTGGAGAATAGAAAGAGATAAAAGAGCCATCATGGTAGCATTGTGCTATGATAGCACTGAGTGCTAACAGAGAGCTTTCACAGAGACAAATTGCCCCGGAGCGGAAAAATGCCGGCTATATGCTACATCACTTTGTCTTGTCTTCTTAGACCTTACGGCCATTCATCAGGTTTTGGTTTTAATGAAAGGTTATTGATAAGCTCTGCTTTTATTTCTCTCTCTTTCATACTGGAGGGTGCAGGCGGACCTGCGCTGTGCTGTGCAGCTGGAGTCCAGCGAGTTGTTTGTGTCTCCAACAAAGAGAGATGAGAAGCAAAAATATAAAAGCTGAAAATGAACAGAGCACACTGAATGACAATGTAAAAATAACCTTCATGAACTGGTTTTGATTGCTGCAATAATTGGACCTGAAGTTCAACAACAGGGTTCCTTTTGAAACTGAGATGAGCATCTATTCTGTCCATAGATATATTTCATTTCAACACCTTTCCACTGTGGTGTGGTGGCGCCTGAGGGAAACACAACAAACACTAAAAAACATTCAAATGAGGAAACCTACGGTGGCTCAGAGGGCTCAATGCACCGCAGCTTAAGAAAACACATGCAAACAGACAAAACACAAACAAATTCGGAAAACATCCTCGTCTGTTTGACAACACACGTGCTGCAAATACTCACAACAACAACCAAATACACAAAGACACTGCAAGTGGCAGGAGGCGTTTCCAGGGGACACTAAAAAGTGATGAACCAGGCTGGAAACAGCTTGTTGTTCAGTGCTTCGTGACTTTTGAAGTTAAAAGCATTGAACAAGTGCATGTGGGTGAATGTATTTTTGTGTTCCCTGGAAACACTTCCGTTGCGTTGTGAGTATTTGTGGCGCGTGTGTTGTCGAATTGATAAAGATGTTTTTCTGAATTTTCTTGTGTGTTCGTCAGTTGCAGTGTGGTGAGCGTTCAGGGCCGCCGCAGAAAAACACGAGCAGAAAGAACTGCTGCTCCTGCATGCGAGGGGGGAATAAACGGGTTGTGTTTGGAGAAACAGCAGCGGTACAGATACTTTTTCCTTCCCATCAAACTTTAAATACATAACCATTTTTTAAGGTTTGATATATTTTCTGTGGTCACTTTTCCCAAATACAGAAAGTCTGGTCATTACATTACAGATTGGATAACAGGTGCATCTTTTACTCCACCCACAAAAGTCTGTTTACGGACCTCTGTGATCACCAGAGCTCAGCTGGGCTGCTGCGTCCAAACGTCCCAGGACGGGAGGACCGTTTGCATTTGGACTGGATCTGCTCCTGATCCGTCTCTCTGCATCACTTCCACTTTCACACGCTGTCAAATCCCTCCAGTCACAATCCTGACGTCAGCATATATGACCGGTGATTTTTTCTGCCCTGTTCCTCGAGCCAAAACAGAAAACTCGCCCGTCATAATTCAACCAATCAGGTCACATGATACTCTGATGTTTTGACTCAGTAAATGAAACAGCTGACTGATCAGAGGAGTAACTGGCTCTGTGTGATGCATCATGAACATTTAACTTCCTGTGGGTCAGCTGTCTGTTCTCAGAGGAGCGACTGTGTCTGTAAGTGACACGCTGCAGATCTTCAGTCAGCAGCAATAAGATCCATATTTGTTGTTGGTTTCGACATGAACTGACATTAGCTACTTGTTGATGATGGAATTAAATCCCGTTCACTTCAAGGTCCCATATTGTATAAAATGAGATTTTCATGTATTTTGATGTCTCTGCGTCGGCGACAGCCAGGAACGGAGACGTTATGTTTTGGGGTTGTCCGTCCACTCCATTCTCGTGAACATATATTTTTGATTAGATCACTCGGATGGTTTTTGGTTCTTCAAACCACAAATATATCTTCTTATGGATCAACATTTCCAATAAAGGAAAAGTGTCAAATACGAACCTTTAACTGTGAGATTTATCTTTTTGTTTTGACTTGTCGATTTCCACATTAGGAATTCTACTGCTGCCAGAGCTGTAAAGTCTCAGCAGTTATTATCAGCACTTCAGCAGGATGTATTACTGTTTCCTCTGCTGCTCCTGAGCTGCTAAACCAACACAAGCCCCAGACCGGCCATAAGCCGCCTCTCTACGATCGCTGTGAGAAAATGTCGGCCTCCGCTGTATCTAATCAGGCCTCGTGGCCACAGTGCGGATCGCACGGGAAGAACGATAATTTGAGATGTTTAATGGTCCCCTGTAGCAAGCGGATGCAAATTGAATTTATTTATTTTGCGGTCACATTGTGATACGGCTTTCATGTGCAATTGCTCCGCAAGGATCAAACTTCATCTCTAATCTCATTTGGTCCCGCGGAGCATTTATTTCTGCTGACCGTTGGCCTTGCATTTACTGCGAGGAGCTGACAGCCCGCAGAGATTAATGCAGCACGCAGCTCGTTTCCGGACTTCGCTCCGGAGCAGCTGCACCGCCGAGTTTGAGGGCAAAAGACCTCAGGCTTATTCTGAGTGTATCATGCTTCATTTATGGTACATATGCTATAATTGTCTGAAAAGGTCACTTAGTCACAAATGCCAAACTTTATATATATATATATATATGTTGGAAATATTCCACTCATTCCTCCACCTAAAGGTAGAAGCTGAAATTTTCCTGAATCCTTGACGAGTTCAACATTCAGATCTCAACAGCTACTGACCAGATGGATGGTCAGTACAGTACACCTCCAACACTTCAAATATAACACAGGTGTAAAATATGGGACCCTTTAAAATACCTGCTGAATACTAAAAGCCTGACAACATACTGTATCTGTACCATATAGTGCGTCCTTATGGTTTCTTATGGTAGTGACCCCATGAATGTAGAATAAAGTGTAATGTTTGTTCCTCTTTGGAAAAACCGTAAAGTCTAAACTTAAAATTTGACCTCGTCATCAAAAATATTAAACAACAGGGGATGAAAAAGCTTTGAAAACAACATCAAAAAACCACCAGAGCTACAGCGTCGCTAAGCTAATGGGATTCCTCTGAGGGAGTTAGCAGCATCTCTTTCTGACTGTCGAGTAAAATCTACAGTGGAATAGTTTCATCCGATATCAAAATAATCATATAAATAATGACAGAGCGACTAGATGTATTCAAGGAGGAGCTGACATTGTATCAGAGGTGGTTTTAAACAGAAGGGATGCTCGCCATGTTTCCTGTTTCATCTGCGTTCCACACATTTCCAGCATTGTCCTAATTTCACTGCGATCTACCGGGAGAACGGTCTGCGTCTCGACAGAGAGAGAAAACAAACACAAAGTTGGAGAAGACCGACAATAGCTGCTCCGAGGAGAATCCACTGGGGCCGCCGCCGCCGCCGCCCCCCTCCCCATCCCCCTCGCCCTCCCCTTCCCGCTTCACTCCATCCTCGAGAGGCCATCAACTATGATAAATAGCCAGCAGGAGGGAGAGGACGGAGGCACAGAAACACCCACACAGAGATCAGACGTTCAGCGGAGAACCACGATGATTCAGGACGAGCCGG